TATAATTTGTCTTTTTATCTCAGCTGGGACAGCAGGGTGTTTTAAAATTGGGGCAAGCTGGTATGCGACATTGTTGGCTTGTTGGATTCTTGCTTCAATCTCTCTGTCTATTTTACCATTGGATGTAAAGATACTTCCCAGGTATTTAAATTCTTGCACTTGTTTTAGGCTGTGATCTAGAATCTTTATGTCGATGGTCTGTTTTGCTCTCTACTTATGCTCATGACTTCTGTCTTGTAGTATTGATCTTCATATGATGCTTGAGGCAACTGTCGTGTAGTAGGTTCATGTGGTCTTGCAGCTGTTTACTATCACTGTGAAATATGCATTGATCGTCGGCAAAGAGCAGCTCATTGAAGTCCTCCTGTTTATCGACATCTGTTGGTGTTATGTCTATTTTATTAATATTGTCCATAAATATTATGAAAAGTAAAGGTGATAATACACAACCTTGTCTTACTCCTGATGTTACTGGGAACCAGTCTGTGATGCCAGCTCTTGTTCTAATGGCGCTTTCACTTTGTTTATAAATAGCCCTAACACAATCTAAAATTTTTCCATTTATACCGTAGTTTTCAAGAACTTTCCATAATAAATTTCTGTTTACTCTATCGAAAGCTTTTTCTTGATCTATGAAAGCGATGTTCATTTGATGTCTGTGTTCTATTGTCTTTTCGCTAACTTGTCTTAAAGCAAAAATAGCGTCAGTACACCCCTCTTCCTTTCCTAAATCCGACCTGTGATGGGCTCAGGATCGGTTCTACAAACGGATCTAATTCGTTGTTCCAGAATTTTGGCAAACATTTTTTCCTACGTGGCTTAGAAGGGAGATGCCTCTGTAATTGTTACAATCTTGCTTATTGCCTTTTCTTTTCCAAATTGGGACTATAAGAGCTCTTTGCCAGTCTATTGGTACAGTTCTTTCATTCCAGGCTTTCCTAAATATGTGGAGTAGCCAGGTGACTCCAATTTCTCCACAAGCCTGTATTGCCTCGGCTGATATTCCATCAACACCTGATGCCTTATTTTTGGGACTGCATCTGATCTTATTTATTACAACGACTCTCTTTTCATTCCCAGTCTCCATAACATATGTATTATAGTATGGGCTGGTCATTGTAGCTACTGGGCTGGTGCTTTGTGCAAACGCCCTCGGCACAGGGGTGCGATCAAATTAGCCAGGCGTAATCTTTGGTCGATCGCATAGCGTGCAATGGTAGTAGACTAAAATGATCACATTTGTCCTTGGATGTTTTCGGGAACCACCATTAGAGGTAAGTGCGAGCAGTTTATGACCAATTTCTATAGATTTTTTTAGGTCAACTATTCGAGAATATAATGAGCTTTAGAAAAAAAAATCTGGGAGATAAGGTCTGATTCTCAGACTGTCCCCGACAATCGGGGACAAATGGTTCCCAATTTTTTTTTTTTTTTTACTCAGATACTTATTTTTCCTCTTCTTCTTCTTCTTCTTCTTCTTCTTCTTCTTCTTCTTCTTCTTCTTCTTCTTCTTCTTCTTCTTCTTCTTCTTCTTTTTCTTTTTCTTCTTCTTCTACCTTTTCTACTACTACTACTACTACTACTACTACTACTACTACTACTACTACTACTACTACTACTACTACTACTACTACTACTACTACTACTACTACTACTACTACTACTACTACTACTACTACTACTACTACTTCTTCTTCTTCTTCTTCTTCCTCTTCTTCTTCTTCTTCTTCTTCTTCTTCTTCTTCTTCTTCTCCTCCTTATACTACTACTACTTTTTCTTCTTCTTCTTCTTCTTCTTCTTCTTCTTCTTCTTCTTCTTCTTCTTTTCTTCTTCTTCTTCTTCTTCTTCTTCTTCTTCTTCTTCTCCTTCTTCCAGCGGAAATATTTGGTTGGTCCACTTTTAGACTTTAGTCCTGCTTCAGAACTTGAGTTTCGCGTGCACATCTCTTTTACAAATCGGGCTAATTTGTTTGCAGACGAGTCGTTCCTTGCCTCTCAGGCAGATGCCCTCCATTTCGAAGGAAACCTCTTAACTAGTTGACTTACGACACGCTTGCTAGAGGGCAGTGGGTCTATCCCCACCCCACCCCATCCCCACACCCATCAATGGGACCCCGGAATCCATACGGGGAATCATAAAGACAGAAAACCACGAACCGGAAGACTTGAACCCCCAAACTGTCCGCCATCAGACAACAGCGCCACCTGGGCGTGTTGTGATCAGCTGCTGTAAGTGCTGTAACTCGTGACTACAGAATGCAGACGAAAGTATCCAGTAACGGTTGACTGGTCCAACAATATTTTGTCCACATTTTAACGGATTAAAAGAAATATTGCTAGATCATTCACCGAAGGGATTGTTGTGATCAGCTACTAATAGGGTATCTGCCTGCGATTGCTGGCGACTATTAATTTAGTTACCATTTTTTTTCTGTACCAACATCTTTGTCTACATTGAATTATAATTAACAGTTCTTTGGGAATAATAAAATTAATAATAGTAGATCAGCTGCCGTGACTCGGGATTAGTAACGTCTCTAGTAACAGTTTTTCTTGACAGAACCATCATCTTTGTCTGCATTCTGAAGGATAAAAATAAAATATTTCAGTGAATTTTTGTACTCAAGACCGTATGATTCACGGAAGTGACTGTTTCACTGTTTGTATCATCAGCTGCTTTTAATTTCATATAGTAATTAGTAGTATAATTATAATATAGATAATCCTGCCGTCCTTTTTATGATGTAATTTTTCGTTATTTGTAGCCCTACTCTGGCTCGTGCCAGGGGCCGCTATATAGCCCGACCATAAATATAGTCTAATGTAATGGCTGAACGCGGTTTCTGGGACCTCTCCACAGTGATCCTCATCCACATGGTGGCACATTGTGTAATGGGGTGTTTATCGCTTGTGTAATGTCCTAGTGGGGTAGAAAGTCAGTCAGTTATTATAGTATAACTTGTCATTGCAGGCGATCCTCTAATGACTAATTAATGGTGTTAGTTAGTTTCTAGAGCAAAATGTATGCCTCTGTTCTAATGGATTAGAATATTACTACTATTATTTAGTATTCGATTTAAATTATTTAATATTAGGTCATTCACGGAAGTAGTAGTAGTGTAGACTAGTAGTAATTTTAAACAGCAATATCCTGTTCAACCCATGCAGGTTATAATTCAAATATACAGAGTGGTTTTTTTTTCTATTTCAATAATGTATATTATATTTATGTCTAGCAGTTATGATTGGTTATGCAATATCGCATAGGTTATGTATTAATTGTATAAGACTAGGAGTATAGAAGGCAACATTCACAAGTTCTGCTCTCCTCCGAATGATATATCTGAACGATCGCATCTAAAAATATACTATAACAGGGCCTCAGTCATAGGCCTATGTAAATTTTGGACTCCTTTCCGGCGACTACACCATGGCAAAAGTAGGATTACTTTTGGGTGCTAATTTCGCAAAGCGTAAAAATTATCATAGAATTATCACCATGGCAGGCAGACCATCAGCTCCGACACTGGGTCCTAGGTTTAACATCTTTCCTGGATCCTAGGTGTAACCTCTCTCCAGGGTCCTAGGTTTAGCTCCTTCCCTGGGTCCTAGGTTTAACTTCTCACTGGGTCCTAGGTTTAACTTCTCACTGGGTCCTAGGTTTAACTTCTCCCCTGGGTCCTAGGTGTAACTTCTCTCCAGGGTCCTAGGTTTAGCTCCTTCCCTGGGTCCTAGGTTTAACTTCTCACTGGGTCCTAGGTTTAACTTCTCACTGGGTCCTAGGTTTAGCTCCTTCCCTGGGTCCTAGGTTTAACTTCTCACTGGGTCCTAGGTTTAACTTCTCACTGGGTCCTAGGTTTAACTTCTCCCCTGGGTCCTAGGTTTAGCTTTTCCCTGGGTCCTAGGGTTAGGGCAACAAGTATTACAATTATGAAACCGTCACCAGAATCTGTTGCAACAGTCCAACCGCGACACTAACAATTGACGGATTATGCATGCAAATAACATAAGCCCAATGATACGAAAGCGGGACTAGTCATGTGATTTGCCGCCTGCCCCTGGTGTATTCGCCGGACAGACATCCTCATTTTAATTTTACACACTGTTGAGGACTTGTTATGGTATATTTTAAGGCGCAATCGTTCAGACACATCATACGGAGGAGAGCCAAGAATTTTTTTAATGTACCTTTAAAAAATTATAATAATTATGCTGTGCATCTTTGCGGGTATTTAGAGTGTTCTGGGATACCATTATTCTGTCTTAAGATATATCAACACCTCATACGCGAATCCCTGTTCTTGTTATGTACTGTTTAATTCCTCCCTGTAGTTCTCTAGAACCACTTACTCCCAGCGTGTTTTCAGTTGTCATAGGCTTATTGCAGCCGATCATATATTCATTAAGTGGTGTCCTTTGAAGTTCATATTTCTTGAAATAAAGTAAATAATTTTCAGTATCATTTTGTACGTGACATACAGAACAGGTGTCTTCTGCTATAGTGAAGATAGCCACTCCGAGTTGCAGTCTCGGTTTTTTTCTCATTGCTAGCCGATTTTTAGTTACATCGTTGTCTCCATTTACCAGATCAGCATCTTCGTCTCTTTTTTTTTACTAGACAGACATCTTTGTCTAATCGATAAAAATATTAGATGAAAGATCATTCACGTAAAAGATTATAATATATCAAAGAGTTTGTTTTGATTAGCTGATATAACTGCATTAACTGTATCTCGTGATTACAGACAAATATGTGACAGTTGCTTTATTTTTTAGTATAATACCAACAATTTGTCCAAATTCAAATGGATTATATCATTACATGACAACATTAAAGTGATTAAATAATGTGCTGTCATATACGTGGCCAAGGATTCTAATTTGGAAAGGATTTGTGCAATGTTATTGCTGTATCTACAAAAGAAAACTTTGTGTTTAAATTTATACTTGAAATCATAATCAATTGTCAGCATTATTAGCCGTTACTGTGCATTTTTACAATGGAGCTACCTACTGATCGAATGAGGCTGAAAGACAAGATTATCGATAACATTTCTAAGGCAATCAAATCGGTATGAATTCTTCTGTGTGAAAATGTCGTCTGTCTGTTTTGATAAATGTGTTTTTTACTTGCACTGCCAACTGTTGCAGACTCAACCTGCTGCAAGCAAAGTTATATCTCATGATTATGGGTTGGATTATCTTCACAGCACTCCGGACACATCCATAGGTGCTTAGATTCCCCCATCAACATATTCATCAGCGTCACGCGGTTAATAGTTCCAGTCCTATGCTGGCTGACAAGACTTTGTGTGTGTCTGGTGTGCTTATTATGCTTGGCTGTGCTGATCTTTACTTCCAATTCTCGTATTCTTAGCAGTGATGTGGACTCATTGCTTCCAAAGTTCTTGGAACGTTCTATCCCTCTAAGGGCATTAACAGTGTCTGCGTAATCCATGGGCCGGCCATCTGCATTTAATGCGGAACCAGCCAGTCTATAGGCTCTTTCATTGCCAACAATCTGCATGACCTGGGGAAAATATGAAAGTAACTGCACACACAGAAGAGTTTTGCAATGACTCAGTCCACTGTCGGCGAACCCAGCTTGCTTCGACCCATCGTAACATGATTAAAGAATCACTCAATACACACACCCAGGAATAGTCCTGTGATTCTAGCCACATGAAGACTTGTGTTACCGCCATCACCTCCATCGTCATTCTGCTGGTGGTCATGGAGAAGGCACCACTGGCTTCTTGCACTCTTGTGTCCTCGCATAACGGACATCTCAAGAGTAGCCACAAACAAGAAGCACGTCTTATATAAAGCCCTAGACCAGTGTTTCCCAAACTTTTCTTAGTTGCTCCCCCTTTTGTCAGTTAACATTTTTCTGTTGCGTCCTAACCTAAGTAAAAGTATCACTGTTCGTGTGTAAGAGGCAACAAAAATAAAACTCGTGTATCTTTGAATATTTCGCGGCGTTCCTGTAAAGAGGTCGCAGCTTCCCGGGGCGCCACGGTGCACAGTTTAGGAATCATTGCCCTAGACAGTCGGTTACCGACTGACCATCTTGAATAGGGCAAGCTGAAGACACAACTAGACATCCCCCGTGTGGGTTCCGGGGCCCCATCGTAGGGAAAACAAGAATAGACCCACTGCCTCCCCAAAAGCATGTCATAAGAGTCGACTAATTGGGGAGCTTCCTTTAAAGTCGGAGTGCATCTGTCGGAGAGGCAAGGAACCAACAGTCTGTATTCAAGAGAATGAGATCTGTAAAACTGATGCACACGCAACACTCAGGTTCTGGAGCAGGACTGCAGTTCAGTAGTGGACGAACAGTCAGAACTTTCCGCCAGAGTGTACAGCTGGTGAACGCGAAGAAGAAGAAGACAACTAGACAACTGTGATGTGTACAGACAGATATTGGGCGTGAAGCTTTGAAAGCGAGTAAATAATATGCAGGTACAAATAGATTATCGAGGTCTGAAAATTATGCTGTCCATGGGGAATGGTGACCAGGGATCTGGCTGATGCTCGGCACTCACAGAAGTGGTGAGACGTACACACAGTCAAACTGTTGCTAGTACTATCATAATAGGAACTCTGGGGTTGCTGCTTAAGATGGAGGAAGAGCGTTTATGGGAATGTCTTGAGCAGTCTGTCTGCCTGTTCATTTCCCAACACACCGGCATCACCTGAAGAAAATATCCAAAGGATGCTAACAACCCAGAACCAGTCAGTCTATCTATCTGTTCTTTTTCCCAACACACTGGTATGACCTGGAAAAAATATCCAAGGACGCTAACTGGATATAGTAAAAGTAAAGGACCCCCCCTAACCCCTTTTTTTTTTACAGTGATACATCAGCATATGAAGCTAGTATAATTTTTTTATGTAGACCAGTTGACAATCAGTGGGTGATGTGGTCAATATTATATCGACTGCCTTTACATCCCAGGACTTTCTTCTTCTTCTTCTTCTTCTTCTGCCTTTCTATCCCCCAATGGAGCCCTCAACCAACTCACGCCAAGTCGTTCTCTCCTTCGCCATTGCATGGAGCTCTCCCCATGTCCTCCCCATCTTTCTAACTTACTTCTCCAGCTCTCTTCTCCATGTGTGTTTTGGCCTTCCCTTATTCCTACCTGGTACTAATTCTAGGCTAGGTTGACCCAAGGTCAGGTTATTATTTAATTTTAAATTATTTTGTTATTGGATTTGAAATGCTTAGATATCAGAAGGAAAGTTCCAAAGATCAAGATCAAAGCCCAGCAGTGGATGAACAACCAGAAATTCCCACCAGAGTTTGCACTCAGTGAGTGCTAAGAAGAAGAAGGATCTGCATAGAAATAAAGAAAGACTAAACTCATGAAGAAATGAGCTGTAGAGTAAAGTAAAAAAAAATAAGGAAGACGTGGGAAGAGCTGCATGCGATAGCAAAGGATACAACAACTTTGGGTGAGATGGTTAAGGGCAGAAGAAGACACACAGAAAGAAATCTTGGTCATTCTTCATCTTTAATGTTCACCTTTAAAAGATCAGTTGACTGTTTGTTTTGTTGTTTAATCTAGGTTGTGATATCTGCACCTTTCAGCTTGGCGCATCAAATTTCAGTAGACTTCCAATCCAGTTAGTTGTCTGTTATGGCTTGCTTGTTGATCCCCCCACCCCCACCCCCTCAAAAAAAGGGGGCACTAAAAGCCAAACTGGAACTTGTTCTTTTGATCTTTTCATATTTGTTGCTGTACGTGAGAGATTTTGAGACAGATTCATTCAGACCCATTATTCGAAGGAAAGCACAAAAATTCTTTTATTGTACTTTCAAACAATTTTAAAAATCATACTGTGTATCTTTGCGGAAATTTAGAGTCATCTGGGATACCATTATTCTGTCAAGATATATTAACATCTCATACACATATCCCTGTTCTTGTTATGTACTGTTTAATTCTTCCCTGTAGTTCTCTAGAACTTTTATTCAAGATTTGTGTTTCCCTACAATAATTCAGTTGACTGGCTTATAAGTAAACTTTAAACAAAACTAAAAATAAGACAAAGAAAGAAATTGAATGGTACCCTTTGTAAATGTTTGTTTCACAGATTCAAGAACTAGTGTACTATCATTCCAAGGATCCAGTCATGGCAGACTCACTGGTGACCTTATACAATGGAGATTGGCAGTGTCACAAATTATGTGAAAATCTCGATCATGCTCTCCTGCATGGGTAGGTATCACTGTTGCTGCTCCGTGTACTGTTTTTCTTTACATTCTCCCTGCTAGTGGCTTTCAGATGAGAAGGCCACAGGCTTCTGTGAAGGCTGTGGTGCAGCACATGTCTTCCAGTGCTCCATACAGCTTGGTTTCCATTTGAATACCAACTGGCCAAATGTGGGATCTTTCTATAGGTCACTCACTTTGAGTAGAGGAATTACGTGGTGCTGTAGTTTTCATGTTCGGCTGTGACACATTTTCAGTCTTTCAGCCTGGAACCTCCAATTTTAATGTGTTTTTCTGTAAGGATAAGATTTCTTAGGTGCATTGCTGTCCTCAGCTAACGAGTTCCCTCTGCCTAAGTGTACTGCTCTATTCTTGCACTATATATTCTATACTGGGATACAGACATACGGCTAGAGCAACTAGTAACGATTGCTTTAAAAGAAGATATTGAAAGTAGATCTCTATAAACAAAAATGAGAAAGAGACAAACATTGTTCTTTGGCCACATAATGAGAAGACAGACATTGGAGAACATCATGACAACTGAAAAGATAAGTTGAAAAAGAGGTAGAGGCAGACCAAAAGAGATAATGATGATGAGCTGAAACGATGGCATGGAGGGATATCATCAAAGAGAGCTGTTCCAGACAACCAGGGATCATCATCTGTAAAGACGTAAGAGCGCCTATGCCAGTTGGCAGGGCACTTGATGATGATGCAGACATGGACTACCCACAAATGTTAGAGCACTAGAACCAGGGCTGCTACTGATCAAGACCTATCTGCAGCTCTCTTTGGTCATCCCAGCTCGGTGACCGGGTCACCCATTGGCTCTCCGGTGGATGACTTCATCGCCAGACAGTGGGGACAGTATTTAGGTCTGTCTCCTTTGATCACATCAACACTGCAGAAGTCGTTTTCAGGGCTCTTAGTGGCGAGCATGCTGAGCCATCTTATGTGTCGCACATAACCTAGTCACAAGTATAACCTACAACTCCTACTTTGGGGATGCTGTTGAACTTATCCTAAAAACAAGTTCCCATCTGGAGGACTGGCCAGCTTAGATATGATTGATGTTTCCTTCTTAGAGCACATCTGCCAGAGAGGCTAGGAACCAACAGTCTGCACACCAATAAGTGAGATGTGTAAAATGGTTGTGCATGCAACACTCAAGTCCCAGAACAAGACCAAAGTCAAGAAGGTACTACGATTAACTGGTATTTTCCACCCAAATTCACAACTGATAAATGCAGAAAAAATACAATCTGTAATGGAGTCGAGGGAGGGGGGGAGGGGGGTAATAATGCAGGTCAGTTTGTTCCTCTTCAGACTCGAGGCTTGCTGACTTTTACATTATCATTTACCACAAAGAAGAAGAAAGTTAGCACTTCGGATGGCTACCATATGCTTTTAATGAAAGTGTGTGCTAGATTTGCTGAGACAGCCGTTTGTCAGTCTTTCCACAAGGGACTGTGATAAACATTCTGTGTGTTTTTCGTTGGCACAGGAGCGGAGCAAGGATGGGGTGACCCGTTTGCTATAAAGCTGAAATTAAAATAACCAGATTACCAGAAAGAGTATAAAAAGAAAAACAATTTTCTTCTTTTTCTTCTTCTTCTTTTTTATTCATTTCCTCTTTTACCTCTTTGGGTGTTGAGGGAGATATGAGGTTCTGGTTCTTGCTGTTCTGGTGGCCTTGACAATAGACTCAGTGTATAGTGTATATAGCATTAAATTGTCTTTTACTTGCTTACTTACTCTAATAAAAATGTTAATATTGTCAGTTGTGAAATCTCAGTCATGTGTTTAAAAAAAATTACCTTAGGCTGAAGCAAGTGGCTCATGGATACTGGCGAGTGGTCAAGGAGCTGTCACACAAAGAGATGGTCAAGGAAATTGATGTACTGACTAATGTTACCACAGATCTGGGCAGAGGTAGGTCCTTCTCCTCCTCCTCCTCCTTCTTCTTCTTCTGTTTGCCTTTTATCCTCCACTGAAGCATAGGCCCACAACCAGCTCAAGCCAAGTATCCTTCTCTTTTGCATGCACCTCACCACTGTCCTCCACTCTCTAGTTCCTTTTTTACCTTGTGGGCTCCGCGGTCTCATTGAGGGGGGGAGGAACAAGAACAGACCTACTGCCTCCCTAACAAGCATGTAATTGGGAGCTTCCTTTGAAGTCGGAATGCATCTGCCCGAGCCACAGGGAACAACCAACTACACAAAAATGAGCCAGTAAAACAGATGTACTTGCAAAACTCAGGCCCTGGCACAAAGGCAAAAAATGTTACGAACAACCAGGACTTTCTGCCTGAGCTAACAGCCGGTGAACAAAGTTCCCTTCTCCATGTGTATTTTTGGTTTGCCTTTATTTCTGTGACACTGAGGGTTACAGTGTAAAGACATTCTTATTATATGTTCCACAGTAAATCCCAAAGTGAATCGGTGTGGCCTATCCTTATTCTTTGCATTTGTCACTAAAGGGTTGTTGGTACGTTGTTTTGTGGTTTGCGACTGTACCTATTTATATCCTAATATTTCCTGAGTGGGTTCTGAGCCCCATGATGGAGAAAACAAGATCTTCATATTGTTATCACTGTCAAGCCGTGATGTTGAAAAACACGTTTATCACACTGAAATAACTAGGCCAGGTTTCTAACAGGACAGCCCACTCGTTATTGAGACACACGTGTAGGCTTGTGTGTGTATGTGAGTGTTGTAGGCACGTGTTTACATGCATTCCTGCTGTGTATTTGTTTTTATAACTATAATAAAAAAAAGGGGATGAGGATTGTTGCAGATTTTGAGAAGGATGTGAAGAGTGTCATGGATTAAAAGAAATACAAATGATGTAGTCCTCTGTGAGACAGATTTAATGTGTGAGCTGGTTAGAGAAGTTACACGTAGACAGTAGTAATTTATTTGGGCATTTTGTGAGATTGAATGGACTCAGGAATTTGGGGACAACCGGTAGGATTAGTGGAAAAATAACAAGGGAAAGGCAAAGACATAAATACCTGGATAGTTTGACCAAATGGATGCCGGTTGACAAGGGGGAAGGGAACATTTACCATTGAAGCCCATGAGTTTGGTAAATCAGTTTAGAAGTATTGATAGGCATTCATAGAATCGCCTGATATTCGTGGGTTTAAAACCACATCAAATCCGCTCTTTTGCTCTTTTTTTTCAGCTTTTTTTAAATGACCTTGGCTTTTAGTTGACCAGTCTGAAAAGGTACCAAGAAAAGACGTGGGAAGTAAAGGCGGTTTGTGTGATGTTGATTACGTCACCCACTGTGTGCCAATTAGTAAAGAAAAAAGGGTCTAGCATGTAAAAGTGGCCTTTACTCTTTTAAGTTGAGAATAAAACTAAGTGATGAACACAGGTGATAACTGTATGACCAGTACCTCCTTGTTCGCGTTCACCAGCTGTAAACTCTGGCGGAAAGTTCTGGTTGTTCGTCCACTTCTGGACTGCATTCCTGTTCCAGAACCCGAGTGATGCGTGTGCATCTGTTTTACAGATCTGGCTCATTTGTATGCAGACTGTTGGTTCCTTGCCTCTCAGGCTGGTGCACTCTGACTTTGAAGGAAGCTCCCATTTAGTCCACTCTTACGACATGCTTTTGGGTAGGCAGTGGGTCTATTCTTGTTTTCCCTGTAACAGGACCCCGGAACCCACACGGGAAGACCAGTATATAAAAGATGGGATATTTAATGTCATTATCCTTAAACATCTGCCAAGAAAAACAACGCTGTTACATGCTTCAAGTGCAGAACATTTCTAATCGCAATGCAAAGACAGGAATAGGAAGAACTCTAACATATGCTGATAACAAACTGGTATATCGTCAGTGTACCAACAGAAGCAAAAAAAATAATGATCTCCAAAAAGAATTACGATATATAAATTGGTGTGAAGTTGCTGGAACACAGATTAATCCAACAAAGGTGACTGCAACTTGGTTGGTTCTCATTAAATAGTCACACAAAACATTCACAAAGTCCCGCTTTATATATATATAATAAGATTCCTAAGACCAATCTTTTAAAATACTCGGGAATACAGTTTGATTAGTGTTTGAGTTACAAGTCCCATGTTGATAAAGTAATCATCAAAGCTAGAAAGGGCTTAGCGGCATTACAGGGTCGTGGCCGTCACGTACGGTCGGCAACACGTCCTCATCATCCTCTATCAATGATTAATCCTCTCTTTTATGGAGTATGCAGTGGCAATCCTCACACTTAGTAACACACAAACAAAAAAAGTTTTAAAAATTAAAAATGAAGCAATGTGCATTATACTAGGCTGTACCAAAGGCACAGCATGCACATCCACGAGATTCTTACCGGATTTACCAGACGTTACCAGGAGGCTTAATTTATGAAGAGCACAAGCATTTCTAAAAATTACAGAAGATCGTACACATCCTTTACACACGGAACTGAAAAAACGAAAAGGAAATAGACTTAAACGAGACCAGTCAAAGCTGGGCCAAGCAGAGATAGTAATAAAACAGTATGTAATATCAAGGACATTTAATCAGGAGAGGAATAGATGCATATACCTTTTAAATATCGGAAATTCGTTAAGGTGATCATTACTTTAGACAGAAAATATTGTGACTTTCCTCCTGCAATTGGTTGATTAAGAGGTCAAAGCACTGATATATGAAAACACGTCCTAAGATGATGCTGTTATATACACAGATGGTTCTGTAATTTGTCACAAACGAAGTGCTTGGGCATTCACTGCAAGAACAAAGGGAAAAAACAATAAAGAAGCCATCGGAACCTTTGCTGCCTCCACCAGCAGCTTGACATTGGAAACTAGGGCTGTGACGAAGACCCTAGAATGGCTACAGACACGGGAATTCACACACACGTGTTTTCTAAGTGATTCTATGAATACGATTAAAAAAAAGATCAAAGCCGGATCCATACGAAGAGAATGGTATATTCATCACTGAAAGCACCACTCCACTTCATTAAATTCATATTTGTCCTAGGCTATGCTGGTGTGAGAGACAGCGAGAGGGCGGATGATCTTGCAGGCAAAGCCACTCTAGGAAATTGAGCTTCTATGGACAAAATTGACATAAATCTATGCTCTTCAAGAGGCAGCAAAAGTGAAGATAATCATTTTTCTCTAACTCGTTTGTGAGGTCTAGCTATACCATTTGGAGCAGTGCGATATGAAAACCATGCAAAACCTCACAGTTGCTACATCAGCCAACACAGAACAGGAGTCATCAGTATAAACACACTAAGAAACATACTTAGGAGAAGATCTGAGGACTTTTGGGTATGCCTGATGTGGAATGAGGATGATCTTGAAATGAAGAGTGAAAAATGAAAGACAGGATGCATTTGGGTGTGATAAGTGGTGTATTTGTTATAGAAAGAAAGAAACCAAAGTAAAAATGAAGCATTTTACTTTGTATGTTTGTGTGAAGACAGACTTGTAGAGGGTGGACAAATGTTTAGAACACTGAAGAACACCAGGAGACACTGGTTTGAATAATCAGTGAGAGAAGGAAAAAACAATTCCTGGCAGAGGTTTAAAAAAAAAAATACTCATCTTGACAGTTCATGAGATCTAAATCATGGAGCCTACGAATACCCCACACTGCCCTAAGAAAAGACTTTTTAGTAGTACAGTCGAGTCCACTTACGTCGAACTCGGATAAGTTGAATTTCGGTTAAGTCGACATGACCAGCTTGGTCCCGGCAATTTTCTATATTGTGTGTGCTGTCTGGATAAGTAGAAGTCCTGATAAGTGGAAGCATTTTCTTAGGTCCCTGCGACTTCTACTTTATCCAGACTCGACTGTAGTATTTTTTTTTTTTTAAATAATCTAGAAGTATTAATTATAAAATGCTGAGAATAAAGCTACTTGATACTCTTTCATTCTTTAGAGAACACTTATGTTTTTGTTTTGAGAAAGGATGAAGTGAATACCTATATCTTCTCCAGTCTCCACCCACGCATTCCACGTGGAGAATCTCAGCTCTGTGCACAAACTCACTGTGCTGATAAGGATTGGCAGTTACTTCAAGCTAGTGGTTCCTAATTGTCTGTGTGTTCTTTACAAGGCTGTAATGGATGCCAGGAACAGTACCACCATAATAAAGTCAACTAAAAATGTTTGACCTGAGATTTGTTAACTTAAAACATTGAAAACTGTAGCTGCAAAATCCCAAAAAACCTGCATTTTTTTCTGAGGTTTCATTTTGGGGAGGGAGGAAAATAGACTCACTGCTTTTTAACAAGAATTTCTTTAGAAAGTGACAATTTAAAGGTTTGTTGTAGCCTGCTTTTAGTGCATTGGCAACACATCTGTCAGTGATTTATGCACCAAATCTGTCAGTGATTTATGCACCAAATCTGTCAGTGATTTATGCACCACATCTGTCAGTGATTTATGCACCAGATCTGTCAGTGATTTGCACACCACATCTGTCAGTGATTTATGCACCACATCTGTCAGTGATTTATGCACCACATCAGTCAGGGATTTATGCACCACTTTTGTCAGTGATTAATTAGTGCAATAGATCTGTCAGTGATTTACACACCACATTTGTCAGTGATTTATGCACCACATCTGTCTGATTTACGCACCACATCTGTCAGTGATTTATGCACCACATCTGTCAGTGATTTATGCACCACATTTGTCAGTGATTAATGCATCACATCGGGTCATTATCAAATGCTCACCAGTTGCTGCATCTGTACTGCGACTGGCCATTCAGCAAGTCTCTCATTCTAGCCGATAAGGGCTTATTATTGGCGTAGGACTTATATTAAAATCCTCCTGAAAATTGTGCTGGGTCTTTTTTTTAAAGGTGGGGGGGGGGGGGGGTTAAATTTTGTGGGAACACTATACATTTCATTTGTCATTAACATTGCATTAGACAAATCAATCTGGTATACAAGTCGACCTAAGATCTAGCTCAGAATTTGGAGTTAGGCCTATGTCTACATAAAACATAATTCAGATCAATACTCAGGCTTCATTATCTCAGCTGATGAACAGTGTTGTTAAAGATGAAATGTCATTTGTTTATGCTTAGTCTGCCGTGTCTTGAACATGGTGTGTGCTGTAGCATTAATATAATATTAATTTGCATTGTTATTTTATTATTTCAACTACAAGTGAATTGAAATTCCTGGGAAGATCTTTTAATAGAACAAGAAGAGATCAGATAAGAAACGATGAAATTCTGATTAAAATAGAGGTAGCGGAAGCTCTGGATTTTATTTATTTAAAAAACAATTTTTTTGTTGTTGTTGATGAAATGGTTTCGTCATTTAACGCGGATGCCAATAAACAGTATACCACAACAAGCAAGGATGTATAGACCAGGCGGGAAGCAAAGCAGACTCCGACCATAGAGATGATGGACAAAGGAAATAACAGTGTATCTGGGAATCCCTATTTACGAAGCACACAGACGGGCACTTTCTGCGTAAATTATACTTCATTGCGACACTGCAAGGTATAAGAGGATCACATTGAGATGATTTTTTTATTTTGTATGTATTTGTTCACCAAATGTTAGTGTTGGGGGGGGGGGGGTATATTTGTGGCGCCTGCTGGAGGTATGGTGGATGGTGTACAGTGAGTGTTAGAAGTGCTGTACAACCTCAGCTAGCTGGTAAAAGTTTGCAGTTTATACCCACCAAAAAAGTTAACAAAAGATTTTGGAACTCATTTTTCAAGGCTTGAAAACCTATACACAGCAATGTTCGATAAGTTTTAACTTTTATCCATAATAAAAGCATCTCTGTAATAGCTGCTGATACTAATGAATGTTTGTCTTCTTTATTTCTTGTCAGGGCGAGCATGGCTGTATGCATCTTTGAATGAAGGACTTCTGGAGAGCTACATAAGACTGCTGTGTAATCATGATAAGCTGCTGAGGAAGTTTTATGCCAAGGAGGCATTGCTACTTGATGAAGATGTAAGTGCGGCTACATCTATCCGAACCTGATGTCAGCCGGTTACCCCCTGGTGTTCGCCTCACTACTGTTGTTTATGTTTGAACTGGGTGTCTAAGATTTTGTCCTGTTTCATTCACATCCTAAAAAAGGCTCTTTGAGTTCACTGGATGCCAGTACAATCTTGGGGTGTGTGGGGGACGATCTTTTTTAAACAATGGTTTTTAATTTGTGGCAATATTAACCCTCTCATCCCAAGAAGGCAACATTAGGGTTCATGATGTGTGGCAACATTGGGGTTTATATTGTATGGCAACATTAGTGTTTATAATGTGTGGCAACATTTTTTGGTCCCTGATTTGTGGCAATATTGAGGTTTCTACTGTGTGTCAACATTGGAGTTCATAATATATTGCCACATTGAGGTTCATAGATAACACATGGCAAATTTGGATTTGTTCGTGTGGTAACTGTTGTGTGCTGAATTAATTTGCTGGTCAATTGTACCAGATCGCCTACGCCGGTTGGAAGGCACTCTCTCTCTTCTGCCTTTCTATCCCCCAATGGAGCATAGGCCCTCAACCAATCCACGCCAAGTCTTTCTATCCTTCGCCATTACATGGAGCTCTTCCCATATCCTCCCCATCTTTCTAATTTCATTCTCCAGCTCTCTTCTCCATGTGTTTTTTGGCCTTCCTTTTTTCCTATGCCCCTGTGGGTTCCAATGCAAAGACATTCTAGTTATGCTGTTCTCCTGTTTTCTCAGTGTGTGTCCTACCCAATGCTAGCGTCTTTTCCTCACCTCTTGGTCCACTGGAGCCTGTTTAGTTCTCTCCCAAAGCTCTACATTAGTTATTCTATCATACCAGTTAATAAATATCTGTAATTTATTAGTAATTGCCTTAGTTGTTCTCCATGTTTCCGCCCCATACAAAAGTACTGATTTGACATTAGAATTGAAATTGTTTAGTTTAGTATTTCTTTTAATTTCTTTTGACCCCACAAATTCCCTTGTGCTATGAAAGCTCCTCTTGCCTTTTGTATTCTTATTTTAATATCTTTGTCAGTTCCTCCATCTTTTGGGAAGGCACTAGATGAGGATAACAGCGTGACGAAAGGTTCATAAAGTGTTTTATTTCTGTGGCAACTATGGGGTTCATAATGTGTGACAACATTGAGGCTTATAATGTGTAGCAACATTGAGACTCATAATGAGTGACAACATTGAGGTTCATAATGTGTGGCAACATTGAGACTGATAATGTGTGACAACATTTAGGTTCATAATGTGTAGCGACATTGAGGTTCATAATATGTGACGACACTGAAGCTCATAATATGTGTCAACACTACCACTCATAATGAGTGACAACACTGAGACTCAGAATTTGTGTCAACACTGAGGCTCATAATTTGTGTCAACACTGAGGCTCATAATTTGTGACAACACTGAGACTCATAATTTGTGTCAATACTGAGGCTCATAATTTGTGACAACACTGAGACTCATAATGAATGGCAACTCTAGGTTCATAATGTGTGGCAACACTGAGGTTCATAATGTGTGGCAACACAGGCTCATAATGTGTGACAATAATGTTGTGAAATTTGCTTTAAGAAAAAGTAGCAAGGACAGTTTCTGGCCATCTCACACATGTCATGGCCTCAAATATAGGAAGGTCTAACACGACACACCAAAACAACAGTATATACCAAGGGACTGTCCAGATCTTTTATTTTCTTCTTCTTCTTCTCCTCCTCCTCCATTTGCCCTAAGGGCAGCTGGCGCATTGTATTGTGGTTGCAGTAAGGGTGTCATATCTGTGCCTTTCGACCCAGCACATCCAATTTTAGCAAATATCAAATTAGTTGACCTTCACAGATTTGGCTTTTTTTTAAAGAGTTGGGGGGGGGGGGGGGGGGGGGGGGTGGGGGGGGGGGGGGGGTAGACCAGAACCCACAGGAAAATCTATTATTTTGATACCTTTGAAATTTTGTGTGTTTAGCCATACTTCATATCTTGTAATATATTTGTTTTTTAAATCATTGCTCTCTGTTTTCACCACTTGCTAGGGTGGTTAGACAGGAGGGATGATGAGCCTAAATATTTAGAGCCGCATGGCTAATGCTGTGCAGATTAGTATGTTTAACCTCCGACAGAAAAACTCCTATCACCTTACCAGGGGTCGAACCCAGGTCTCCTGCATGAGAAACCAATGTTGTAACCACTCGGTCAGCTGCTCCTCTATAATTAGAAAATGCATACTTAACTGGGTAAGCCATACATGTAAGTTCATTGTATTTGTTCCTTTCCTGTGTGGGTTCCAGGGCACTATAGTAGGTGAACAAAAGAATAGACGGACTGACCCCCCCTAACAACCTTGTTTTAAAAGGTGACTAATCAAGAGTTTTCTAAAAATCAAATGTATTGGGTCATATGACACAGATATCACAGCCTAGCTGTAAACCACAACACATTGTGCTAATCGCCCTTTTAAGGGTGAACACAGAAGAAGAAGAAGAAGGTTAATTTGTTTGTTTATTTATTTTTATGAAACTTGTCTTTTGTACAGAGGATGAATATTCTACTGACGCACACCTCAGGCTTAGAGATTGTACAGTTTCAGTTGGAATATGTAAGTTCACTGCGTTAATACCATTCTGATTGTGATAGTCTGAGCTTCACTGCAGGAATAATTATTGTGATATTAGTGATTAGTTAAGGGCTATCACAGATAGATCTGTAGGTGCTGCCATCTCCTTCTCATGAACTCCTCAAGTGTAAAATGACTGGTCACACCCGTTCTGTGTTGATTAATCGGACATCTTGTGCCTTTGTTGATGTGCTCATTACACTGCAGATTACACTCCCATATCCACCAGTCTGGACGGGGATGCTGATTCCTGCTTGTTGTCTTAATTGTCTTTGCAAAATGCATCTTGAATGACATTAATGATCATATTTATCTTTGCAATATTTATCTTGCATGGCATTAATGTTTATATTTGTCTTTGCGAATATTTATCTTGTTTGACATTGATGTTCATATTTATTTTTGCAAAATTTATCTTGCATGGCATCAATGATCATACTTGTCTTTGCAAAATTTATCTTGCATGGCATCAATGATCATACTTGTCTTTGCAAAATTTATCTTGCATGGCATCAATGATCATAGTTGTCTTTGCAATATGCAACATCTATGGCACTAATGATCATACTTGTCTTTGCAATGTATATCATGCATGGCGTTAATGTTCATAGTTGTCTTTACCATATTTATCTTGCGTTGCATTAATTTTCATATTTGTCTTTGCAATATTTATCTTGCATTGCGTTAATGATCATGGTTGTCTTTGCAATGTGCATTAATTAATTAGTGGCATTAATGATCATATTTGTCTTTGCAATGTGTATCATGCATGTCATTAATGATCGTATTTGTTTGTCTTCGGGCTCCCGCCTCTTACAAAACCTCTTGATTGCTCTTTTTGTCTGTCCAAGGTATTTTAAGCATTCTTCTGTAAAACCACATCTCTGAGGCCTTAGGAAATTGTCAAGGACTCACAGCCATATGTTAAAACTGGAAGCAAGAATTCTTTTCTAACCTTCAATGACAGCGATATATTGCATAAGATGTTCTTCATTTTATGGCATCAGTGATTATAGTTGTCTTTGCAATATGCATCTTTCGTGGCATTAATGATCATAGTTGTCTTTGCAATATGTATCTTGTATGGCATTAATGATCATAGTTGTCTTTGCAATATGTATCTTGTATGGCATTTAATGACATCAGTCCGATCTGGTGCCTGGCCAGTCATGGTAACCACACTGTTCGCCAGGTATCTAGGTGCTGTTTGCCTCAGACACCTCCATGGCCTGGCATAAAAATAAATGTTAGGTGAGCTATCTGCAGTGCTTTTAATGAGAATTTATTTTTGTCTAATGAAGCTTGCTTGGAGTTTCTTGAGCATATCCATTGTTCACTCACTCTGCACACCTGTGTGAATTCTTGGGTACATTGTAGTATGAGACTGCTTTACTTTGTCAACATCATCAGTTTCTGCTTGCTGTTAAGCGATTTTGAGAGGAACAGTTTGTAATCCATTGCTTGATGTGTCATCCCCTGTCGATGTAGAAGAGCTTTAATGTCATCAGTCTATGTTATCCTAGGGCGACCTCTTGTTTTAACATCTGATCTTTTTCATGTGTGGCACCTGTGTTGGTAGTTGTTGAGGCTGAATTCCGATAATATGACCAAATCATTTGATTTTTGTTGCTGAAATAATTTCATGGGTTGTGTTGTTCCCACAGTCTGTCTGATTGTATCATTAATTTCTCACTCTGTCTCGGATGTTTAAGTTAGGGACTTGCTTCTGGCATCTCATTTTACAGGTGCTAATTGTACATAGGTTAGCCTTTGATAACATCCAAGTTTAGCACTGGTAGCACAGTGTTGGTGTGTGTATGCTGTTTATCATATGTTTCTTCACAGTCTTATTTATGTTTGAATATCTTAATAATGATGTCAGTTGGTATATAAGTACACTGGCTTGTTGGTGTCTTGTTTCTTTTTCAGGATCTATTCTCCCATCCTGCAAAAATATACTTCCTGGAAATTTAAATTATCATATACTGTGTCACCCACTCTTAATCAGCATATAATAGTCTACTCCAAAATGTTAACAGGTTTAGACAATTGCTTGATTCTACTCTGGAAGCCAGACTGATCTGGTACAGATGGTGCAAGACTGAGTTGGTACAGATGGTGCAAGACTGAGTTGGTACAAGTGGGACAAGACTGAGTTGGCACAAGTGGTGCAGGACTGAGTTGGTACAAATTGGGCAAGACTGAGTTGACACAGATAGTGCAAGACTGAGTTGGTACAGATGGTGTAAGACTGAGTTGGTACAGATGGTGCAAGATTGAGTTGACACAGATGGTGCAAGATTGAGTTGACACAGATGGTGTAAGATTGAGTTGGTACAGATGGTGCAAGATTGAGTAGGTACAGATGGTGCAAGACTGAGTTGGTACAGATGGTGTAAGACTGAGTTGGTACAGATGGTGCAAGACTGAGTTGGTACAGATGGTGCAAGACTGAGTTGGCACAGATGGTGCAAGACTGAGTTGGCAAAGATAGTGCAAGACTGAGTTGGTACAGATGGTGCAAGACTGAGTTGGTACAGATGGTGCAAGACTGAGTTGGTACAGGTGGCTCAAGATTGAGTTGGCACAGATTACATAAACCTGAGTTGGCACAGGTGGGGCAAATAATAGGTCTCAGATTGTGTCTGTTGTAACCTTGGTGATTTTCCTAATATGGCCTCTAGCCATTTCTAGCTGGTCCCCAAGCTGAATACGCCACTTAAAAGTACCCAGTTTGAGGACAAATGTAGAGGCAGTGGCCAAGCTGTACTCCATGCCTAAAGAAGTCTTCCTGAAATGCTTCTAGCAAAGAAAAGACCGCTTGAACAAGTGTTTGCAGCCTCAAGGAAGCTAATTTGAAGCAGATAGGGTTTCACATCTCCAGATGAGGAGTGGTATTTTTTTTCATTGCCATCATTTTTTTTTTTAAGTAGACCTCACACATGTTTGCCTTATCAACACATACAGGATGTACCATATCTTGATCTGAATGCTTACCCACCACGCATCCGTAGCAATTCGGAAACAGAAGATCAAGTACAATCAACTACACCCCAGTCTTACCAGAATCACTCAAGCAGTTTTCATTCAAGACCAAAGGTATATTAGTTTCTTAACAATACAAAAAAAATGCAGGATTGTTTCTGTAATATTTGAACGTAATTTAAAGTTATGGCCTTCTTTAGAATGTTTCTAATAAATGCATAGTTGTTTCTGTTATTTTTGAATGTCTTTAGTTCTTTTTTTCCAATGTTTCATTTTTAAATGTCAAAGTTTTTGGCTTTAGCTTTTTATTAGATTTGAATGTGATTTAAAATAGTTGGCTTTATTAGAATGTTTTTAACTCTTTCAGTCCAAAGGAACGCATCATCTCTTTATAGCTTCCTACTTAGAAGCCCAGTGAACACTGTATGCGTCACTTATACTTCTTTTTTTTTGGTACCCTTTGGGCCTCTGATGCTCAACCTTTTGGATCTGAAAGAGTTAATAGGAAGTACAGTTATATTTACATATAATTACATCACTGGTTTCTTAGAGTTTATAACGAGTACAGGGTTGTTTCATTTATATTTGAATGTAAAGTGATTAATTTCTCTGGAATGTTTTTAACATATACAGAGTTGTTTTAGTTATATTTGAATGTAATTTTAATCATTTCTTTCTTTAAAATGTTTCTAACAAGTACAGGGTTGTTTCAGTTGTATGCGAATGTAAAAGTCATTGGCTTCTTTAAAGTGTTTCGGATTAATACACAATTATTTCAGTTAAGTTAAGTCAAGATTGACATCACAGCACTCTGGGCATTCCTATACGCGCTCTGTCACCATCCTGAGCAGCCATCGCAGAGTTCCAGTACTAATGGTGCCAGTAGTAGTCTGGTTGTATGTCCGACTTGCCTTTTCTCTGAGCGTAGCGTGCCGGCCAAAACCCTCTGGTCACACCCTGGTGCATCATTCTCTCCAGCCCATAATAATCTAGTTTTTCTTCTGACTTCGTTACTTGTTCCCAAAGGGCTGTGACCACATCTGCCTTGTCATGTATCAATTCACCACCCAGCAGTGCAGATCTAGCCAGTCTGTCTGCCTGTTCATTCCCCAACATGCAGGCATCGTGACCTTGCAAGGGAAGCTTACCACTATGCTCGATCTGCTCGAAAGCAATCCTATCTTCACCTTTTTCAGCATGCTTTCAGAGTCCGTTACAATTACGACATGAGTGTGTATCTTGTTCTCTGCCATTGGCAAGCTGCAATGACCGCCTCCACCTCCATTCTCATGCTAGATGTTGTGGTATCATATGCCAAGCTGTACTGCACTCAAGATTTTCCATTGGCCTTCACTGTCAAACCCCAGGCACTTATCTTCCCTCTTAAGGTTATTTCAGTTATATTTTACTGTTATTTAATATTGTGGCTTCTTTATAATGTCTCTATTGATGATAACAGGATTCTTTCAGTTATATTTGAATGTACTTTAAAGTTGCTGACTTCTTTATAATGTCTCAAATGATGAATACAGGATTGTTTCAGTTATTTTTAAAGGTACTTAACAGTTACTGACTTCTTTATAATGCCTCTAGTAAGTACAGAATTATTTCTTTACATTTGAAAAGTAATTCACAGTCACTGGTTAACTTTATTTAGTATACTTAAGTGTGCAGAGTCCCTGGCTTAGGGGTTGCGAGTCTGACCTCGTAATTCCAATGTACCGTGTTCGAAACCCACTGCTGGCTGCATGGATTTTTTTATCATAGTATATGGCATCGCAGGTCTACCAAGCCTAAAATGGGTACCAGGATGTATATCCTGGGGAAGTAAAGATGGCCAGCATAATGCTGACCACATTACCCACCTAGTGCAGGCTGGACTGTAAAAATATGGGTGCTCTTCTTATATGCCGAATGCGCCTAAAGGCGTGAAAATGGATCTTTACTTTTACTTTATAGTTTAGTACACTTAAGTATAATAAACAGATATTTGTCTGAAAGATAACTTGAACTATTTCACAGATCTGTGCCAGCCCTACAGAGTCTTCCAGTCACCCAGCAAGTGATTCAGACTCAGCCAGCGTGACCAGTCTAGATGCTCATTCTCAGTCAGAGATAGTCAGTCACATGAAAGCCAGCACAATCTCCTCTGACTCAGGCTGTCCTGGGGATGGTGCTTCCCCAGAAGATGCCAAGCAACTCAGCCTCACTTCTGCAGAAAATGTCATAAGCATCAGAGAAAGAGCTGGATTCTCTGCTGATAGTGTCTCTCTCTCATCTGTCGGTTCCTCAGGAGATCTAGACAGACACAAGAGACTTGCAGACATTGTCCCTGGAGAAGAGGAAGAGTGTGGAAGCGATTCGTTGGAAGTTATCCGTGTCAGAAGCAAAAAGAACAACAGCCAGAAACCTAAAAAGAAGAAACAGTTGCCGACTCAAAAGAATGATCAGGACAGGAGTAGTAAATCTTTGTTAAATGATTTAACACAAAGTAACAGGAATTCTATTTCTCACTTCACCAATGGGCTTCAGATGAAGCTAGCTTCGGCAGATGGAAAGAAAACCAATAGCTTTGTTGGGCATGAGACTGCCAGAGTCAAAGTTGAAGATAATGGCTTATCTCACAGCCACAGTAATCGTGACAAAACTGTGAATCATACTTCAGGTCAAGGACACTATTATGAATCTTTAGAATCCAATACAGTTTCAATTCCAAAGCTAGACTCAGGAATTGATATTTGTGATTTGGCTACATCTGGGGATACATCTTCAGCCTCAGGCATTCGTAAAGCAGATATCGGTGCTCAGATGTCATCCGAGTCTCTGGCCTCTAACCCAAAACTGCCTTCGCTATCTCCACATCATTCAGTAAGCATTGAAAAATCAGTTCAGGAACAGATTGAAAGTAAAATAGCTGCACTTTACACCGGGGATATGTCTAGTCATAAAGCTAATACTGCAGGCAGTAGAAATTATGTCCAAACGGAACCAGATTTCCCAGATGACTCACTAGACTCAAAAACAGACAACGTAAACAACACAATACAGCATTCTCCTTTGGCTGTGAAATATTCAGCTCATGAGCAAAGCTCCCAAGGAATAACTGAAACTACCACACTGACACATTCTAGTCACAACATGCAGGTGTATAACCCTGGAGTGATAGTTGAGATGGAAGAACAAATGAACAAGCAAGAAGACAAAGATTCTAGTCGAGAAGCTGATGATTCATTTGATGTGTACTCCAGCAGCAGAGACGTGACCTCAAAACCTGCTCTAGAAGCGATAAGAAAGTCCAGTGTCCAGTCAGCAGTGCAGCTAAAGGTTGGGGATGTTTTTCCTCCACTATTTGTTTTGTGTGATAATCTGTTAGTTGTTGTGATAGAGGTGTAGCTGACCAACAAGTTAGAGTGCTGGACTCAAAACCTGCTCTAGAAGCGATAAGAATGTTCAGTGTCCAGTCAGCAGTGCAGCTAAACGTTGGTAAATGTTTCCTTCACCAAGTGTTTAGTGTTACATTAAATACCATTAACCCTCTTCCTCTTAGGATCTTAGATGTGTATCAATGGAAGCACTAGCACCCAAAACCCGCCATCATTCTCTATCTTCCGCTTGTTGAACAAGCGTTTAGGAATTTAGTCCTGTCCATTTCTTAATGTTATCATTCCAGGTTCTTCTTTGCTCCTCCTCTTCTTCGATAGCCCCCCAGTGTTCCTTGAAGTATCGTTTTTGCAGTCGCATCATGTCTTACAATGTGCCCGAACCAAGCTAGCTTGCAACACTTCACCACTGTCAGATTAGTGTTACAATCTATTAGTTTTTGTGATCGAGGAGCGATCGACCAGTTAGTGTGCTTGCCTCAAAACCTGCACTAGAAGCGATAAGAAAGTCTAGTGTCCATTCGGCAGTAGGCTGGTGATTTTTTCCTTCACCATTCCTTTCATCATCTGTTATTGTGACTGAGGAGTGTCTGACCGACCTGTTAGAGTGCTAGGCTTTCATTCAGGAGACCCAGGTTTATATCTTTAGTAAGTTGACGAGATTTGTTTCTGTTAGAGAAGTTACGCCATTTTGAAACTTCCAACTGCACTCATACACTTACTGAACTGACAGGCATGCATCACGAAACTGAACATTCATTCACCCATGAGTTTCTGTAGGTTTCACCCCTTCACTGATCGAAAAATGGGCACTGCTCAACTTATAATGTCACCATGTTCATTTGCACTGTGTTCGTATGTGCTTAACACTCTTGATATCCTTTACAAAATTGAGAGGTTACACAACAGTGACCTGGTTATTGTAATTTCTATCACACTTTTAATGTTTTCCTGTAATACTTTCTCATAAATTCTTAACCTGCATCATCAGTTCTCATTATGCCTAGTGGCACATGAGGCTTCAGAGAGGACTTTCCATGCTTTCCTGTCCTGTGCAATCTTCAGTGCAGTTTTCCATGTCAAAGATGCCACACCCAGGTCACTTTCCATCGTTCGTCTCTATGTTGTTTTTGGGCACCCCTGTTTTCTCTTTCCCTCTGGTATCCATGTGAGAGCTGTTTTGGCAGGTATATCAGGATTCATTCTCATAACGTGGCCAAGCCATTTCCATCTTCTCTTGGATATCATACTGTCTAAAGTTTCTTGGTTTGTGACTTGAAGTATTTTAGTGTTTCAGATTGTATCTGGCCAGAAAATTTTGATAATTCTACGTAGACATGTGTGGTGGAAGGTGGTCAGCTTGTGTACATCCTTTTTGGTCATTCTCCAGCATTCTGCTCCATAAAGAAGAACTGGCAAAATAATGCTCTTGTAGAGTCAGACTCGAGTAACCTGCATAGTTTGTGGCAAATGCACTAAACATGTGGCCATAAATCTTTAGTTGGCCTCCCACTTCTTTCTTTATCCAGTCCTAAAAGGGGCAAAATAATGGGAAGCAAACATCATATCTGTTTGAGGTTTGGACTAAATATCACATTCTTTGTATCTTGCCATGAAAAAGGGGAGGCACTGAGCGAAAATTGTGTACTGTAGACTGTAAATTGCCCACAGTACATGATAGTTTTTTGTTGTTGTTTGTGTTCACCGGCTATAAACTCCAGTGGAAAGACCTGGTTGTTTGGCCATCTCTGGACTTAGGCTTTGTTCCAGGACCTGAGTTTTGCGTGTGCATCTGTTTTACAGATCTGACTTATTTGTAGGCAGATTGCTGGTTCCTTGCCTCTCAGGCAGATGCACTCTTAACTTCAAAGGAAGCCCCCAATTAGTCGACTATTACGACGTGCCTCTTGGGGAGGCAGTGGGTCTATCCTTGTTTTCCTCACAATGGGGCTCCAGAACCCACACAGGGGTACATGATAGTAAGGCTTGTAACATTTCCAGCCTTGCCCTGTGCTGAGGCTGGGTTGCTCTACCAATGTGTGAGTAAGTCAGTGCACTAACCGTTGTTCTACATTGACTGTTAAACTCCCTGTGTGGATTCTGGGGCACCATTGTGAGGGAAAACAAGAATAGACCCACTGCTTCCCCAGCAAGCATGTTGACTAGGAGCAAGGAGTTGACTAACTGGGGGCATCCTTTGAGGTCAGAGTATATCTACTTGAGAAGCAAGGAACCAACAGTCTGGACACAAAAAGGTCAGATCTGTGAAATAGATCATCATCATCATCATCATGTGCCCTGCCAATTGGCGCAGGCGCTCATGCATCTCCACAGATCGCGATCCCTGGTTGCCTGGAACAGCTCTCTTGATGATATCCATCCATGCCATCGTTTCAGCCCATCCTGCATCATCTCTCTTGGTTCGCCTCTACCCCTTTTTCCATTGATCTTTCCAGTTGTCATGATGCTCTCTGGTGTCTCTCTTCTCATTATGTGGCCAAAGAACAGTGTTTGTATCTTTCTTTTTGTTGTATATAGAGATCTACTTTCATCAGCTTCTTTCAAGCAATCGTTTTTAGTTACTCTGGCTGTCCAAGGTTTTCATAACATTCATCTCAGAAACAACATCTCTGTTGTTTCCTAATTCTTCCTAATTTGTTCATGGACACTCCAAGATTCGCTGCCATACAGCAGAACAGGTTCTATGTAACATTTTAGCACCCTCTTTCTTTGTAGATGTGCATGCAAAACTTGGCTTCTGGAGCAAGACCAAAGTCTGGAGGTGGACGAACACCCAGAACTTTCCTCCTGAATTAACAGCAGATGAAGGCGAAGAAGAAGACTTGTAAATGTTTTCACTGGAGATTGCTTCTGTGTACATCTTGGTGGTTGCTTATGAATTATCTGAATTCTTCATTGATCATTGCTTATAAATAGTCTTAATTCTCCATTGATCATTGCTTTATATATGTTTGAATATTCCTTGATCTGTGTTTTAAAATAAGTTTGAAATCTTCCTTAATCCTTGCTTATAAATATGTCTGATTCCCCCCTAAATTGTTACTGATAAATTTATCTGAATTCCCCTTCATCATTGCTTATAAATATGTCTGAATTCCCCCTTAACCATTGCTTATAAATATGTCTGAATTCCCCCTTAACCATTGCTTATAAATATGTCTGAATTCCCCCTTAACCATTGCTTATAAATATGTCTGAATTCCCCCTTAACCATTGCTTATAAATATGTCTGAATTCCCCCTTAACCATTGCTTATAAATATGTCTGAATTCCCCCTTAACCATTGCTTATAAATATGTCTGAATTCCCCCATTGCTTAAAAATATGTATGAATTCCCCTTAACCATTGCTTATAATATGTCTGAATTCCCCCTTAACCATTGCTTATAAATATGTATGAATTCCCCCTTAACCATTGCTTAAATATGTCTTAATTCCCACTTAACCATGTCTTATAAATGTCTGAATTCCCCCTTAACCATTGCTTATAAATATGTCTTAAATCCCCCCTTAACCATTATGCTTATAATTGCTTATAAATGTGTCTGAATTCCCCCTTAACCATTGCTTATAAATATGTCTGAATTCCCCTTAACCATTGCTTATAAATGTGTCTGAATTCCCCCTTAACCATTGCTTATAAATATGTCTGAATTCCCCCTTAACCATTGCTTATAAATATGTCTGAATTCCCCCTAAACCATTGCTTATAAATATGTCTGAATTCCCCCTTAACCATTGCTTATAAATATGAATTCCCCCTTAACCATTGCTTATAAATATGTCTGAATTCCCCCTTAACCATTGCTTATAAATATGTCTGAATTCCCCCTTAACCATTGCTTATAAATATGTCTGAATTCCCCCTTAACCATTGCTTATAAATATGTCTGAATTCCCCCTTAACCATTGCTTATAAATATGTCTGAATTCCCCCTTAACCATTGCTTATAAATATGTCTGAATTCCCCCTTAACCATTGCTTATAAATATGTCTGAATTCCCCCTTAACCATTGCTTATAAATATGTCTGAATTCCCCCTTAACCATTGCTTATAAATATGTCTGAATTCCCCCTTAACCATTGCTTATAAATGTGTCTGAATTCCCCCTTAACCATTGCTTATAAATATGTCTGAATTCCCCCTTAACCATTGCTTATAAATATGTCTGAATTCCCCCTTAACCATTGCTTATAAATATGTCTGAATTCCCCCTTAACCATTGCTTATAAATATGTCTGAATTCCCCCTTAACCATTGCTTATAAATATGTCTGAATTCCCCCTTAACCATTGCTTATAAATATGTCTGAATTCCCCCTTAACCATTGCTTATAAATATGTCTGAATTCCCCCTTAACCATTGCTTATAAATATGTCTGAATTCCCCCTTAACCATTGCTTATAAATATGTTTTAATTGTTAAGGACTACATGGATTACATCCTGACGAGCGAGTCAGCAGCGGTGGAAAGCAAAGATAAACAAGAGGTTATAGACACAGGCACTGGTCTTTCAATAAAGTAAGTTGGGTGTTTGGGGTTTTTGTTTTAGTCTGTTTCTTCCTCTTCTTCTTCTTGCAGATAGACTGGCCAGTTCTGCACCACTTGGTGAACTGATGTATGACAAGCTGGATGTTGTGAGGGCCCTTCGGAGAATGGAACTGTGAGAAGTTACAAGGGGATCTGGCCGACGCTAAACACTCAGGGAAAAGGCCATACGGATATACAATCAGACAGTTACTAGTACCATCGGAACTTAAACTCTTTGCTTGCTACTGAAGGTGGTGACAGAGCGCTTTTGGGGGTGTCCAGAGTGCTGTGATGTTGATTCCTAATTCAACATTCAACAAAACATTCCTCATCTTCTTCCCGTTTCCCCTCTCCCAGTGGAGAATAGACCCTAACACCAGGTCATTCCATTCTTTGCTGTTGCATGCAGCTCACCCACATGTCCTCCCCATCTCTTAAACTGGCACATGACTTGTTACATTTATTTTAATCTGATGATACACTTTAATCCCTTATACAGTGTTCCCCAAACATTTCTTAGTCGCGGTGCCTTTTTTCATTAAAAATTTTTCCACAGCGCACTAACCTAAGTAAAAGTATGACTATTCGTATATAAGAGAGTTTTTTTGTTAAATCATGTATCTTCTAATATTTTGCAGGGCCCCTGTAAAGAGGTTGCGGCTCCTCGGGCTCCGCAGCTTGTCAGTCACTGCCTTAATAAACAGACTTTACAGACTTTACTGCCATGTGCCATGGAAAGAGAAGAAGGACGTAGAGCACGGGGTAGACCAAGAACAAGATGGAAGGATAACATCAGAGAAACTCTACAACAGCACGATGTGCCTATGGTCGAGGCAGCCAGAAGAGCTAGAAACAGAACCTTATATCTCCCTCGACACCCACAGCGGTAAAAGAGGAAGTGAAGAAGAAGAACTGCCATGTGCTAATGAATGATGGAGAATCAGGAGAAATTACTTGGAAGCTTTACATATATATTTAATAATGCCTTAACCCTTTCAATACCAGCCAGTGATTATTTAACTTCATCTGTCCCACAAGTTTTAGCTTACAGTAGCCAGTGTTTGAGTCCTAAATAAAAAACACTATGAGCAGAATGAGTAAAACTCACAGTTGTGATTTAATGAGTTAATATAATTAGTCTAGGAGCTGCTGTGGTGTAGTAGCTAGTCGCTCACCTGCGGATCAGAAGGTTGTAGGTTCAAGTCCTAAAAATAACCCGACTTTTTTTGTTTTTGTGCTAACCACATCACCCACTGAGTGCTGATTGGTCTATAAAGTATAAGTCTAGCCCTATATGCCCAGTGCAACTGAAGGCGAGAAAAACTAGTCTGTAATAGAAGAGAGCCAGAAATGTGTACTGTCTTTGGATTACCCAGTGAATATACAGTAACATTGTACCGAAAGAGTTTTTCTTCTTCAACTGGCTCCGTCAGGACATGAACCTATGACTTTTGGTTCTGCAGGCAAGAATCAAGCCACTACACCAGGGCTATTCAACTGGTGGCCCATGGGCCAAATCTGGCCCACCGAGGCAAGTGGCCTGCGGTACAACCACCATTTGTACCATATTAATGATCTGTCTATGCTGGGGGTCAAACATCTGGCCTATGAGTTCTCCATTTTTTTAAATTGTGGCCCCTGAGTAAACTTAGTTGAATAGCCGTGCACTACACCTTGATGGCTTCCCTAACCTAGAGAGCCTACCATACTGTTTATGTTTGCATAATACTCATGTCACTTTTTTTATGTTGTTACAGTTTAGACAACAACACCAAACTACAGCTAATGTTGGATATATTCACCCATGAAGATGAGAAGTTATTGAAGGTACATTTTCTGTTCCCGTAACAATGTGTAACACTTTATGGTTTCTTGGTGTGGGTTCCTGTTATAGGGAAAACAAGAATAGACCCACTACCCAAAAGCATGTTGTAAGAGTCAACTAATTGTGAGCTTTCTTCATAGTCAGAGTGCATCTGCTTGAGAGGCAAGGAACCAACAGTCTGTATACAAGTTAGTCAGATCTGTCAAACGGATGCACACACAACACTCAAGTTCTGGAACAGGATTGCAGTCCAGAAGTGGACGACCAACAAGAAATTTCCGTCAGAGTTTACAGCTGCGACGAAGAAAAACTCTTTATGATTGTCCTGTTTGTTTGTTTAAGTAAGGTAAACTTGTTTACTTGCTAAACTCCCCATCTATACTTCTTTTCTTCGGCGTCTGTGATTGTGAATCAATATATATCAATTTATTTATCATGCATTCACAAGCTAACAATGTTAGAATATATATATATATATATATATATATATATATATATATATATACACAACAACATGCAGTAATAGCACCTTTCTGCTAGGAACAAATCTCTCTCTCTCTCTCTCTATGTGCGTAAGTATGTGCATGCTTGTGTGTGTGTATGTGTGTGTGTATATATAAATATATGTGTGTGTGTGCACTTAGTTCTCTTCTTCTTAGCGTTTGACAGCTGTAAACTCCTGTGAAAATTTCATGTTGTTTGTGCACTTCTGGACTGTGGTCGTTTTCCAGTATTTGCATTTTGCAAAGGGTTGCAAGTGTTTTTTGAAGACCCCTGAGTGTTGCCGTAGCTACAGAGTTCATGCTTTGTTCAAAACTCAAGCAGGGTTCCATCCACCTTTTGTGCACAGACCAAGCCATGCAAGATAAAACCTAGTGGTTGTCATATAGCAGGTCCTTGGCAGAATGTCGCTCTCATCACAGTCTTCCTGCACTTGGTTTCTCACCAGCTCTCCCATGTTGTACACTTTCCTACCCACGGTGTTATTTATATTACCTATCCAGAGTTGAGTCAAGAATTGACATCACAGCACTCGGGGCATTCCCATGTGTGCTCCCTCCTCATATTCATCAGCCAGCGCAGTTCCAGTACTGATGGTACCGGTCACAATCTGGTTATATGTTGGTCTTGCCTTACCTCTGAGTGTAGTGAGCCAGCCAGACCCTCGTTACACCCAGGTGCCTCATTCTCTTCCGGCCATAATAATCTTGTTTCTCTACTGATTCCATTGCTTGTTCCCAAAGGGCCTTGACCACATCTGCCTTGTCATGTATCAGTTCACCACCCAGTGGTGCAGATCCAGCCAGTCTGTCTGCCTGTTCATTACCCACTACGACGGCATGGCCTGGAAAAAAGATCCAAAGTATGCTCACTATCCATGACTTTCCCAGTGAAGCTAACCACTCTGTTCGAAGCATCCCTGTCTTCACTTTTCTCACCATGCCTTCAGTCTGTTACAAGTACACCATGTGTATGCATCTTGTTCTCTAGCCACTGGAGAGCTGCACTTACAGCCTCCACCTCCATTCTCATGCTAGATGTTGTATATTACCTACCCATCATGCTAGTCAGCTCCTGTCTTTCTTTCCTTGTATGATGCCTTATGCTATTATAAATTTTTTTAATCCACCTTGGCACTTGCTTTGGCCAGATTGTTTCAATTTTAGAGACAGATCAAATATATTTTAGGATGTTGGTATTTCTTCTCTTCTATGTCCATGGTATTCTGAGAATCTTTTTGTAATAAGCCCTGTAAATTTTACCTTGCCTGTCTCTGATTTAGAGCATGTGATAGTGCATTCATTGCAATACTTTGACCTGATTTATGACCTGGATTGCGATCTAAGGCACATTTTCTATTGCAAAGTCATTCTGTGTGGAAACTAGGTCATGGGTTCAGTTTGATAATGTCTCTTTCTTCTTCTGTCTTTCTAGCCCCCAAAGGAGCATAGGCCCTCAACCAACTCACGCCGTCGTTCTGTCCGTTGCTGTCGCATGCAGCTCTCCTTATATCCTACCCATCTTTCTAACTTCATTCTCCAGCTCCCCAATGTTTTTGGGTCTATCTTATATAATCGCCTATTCCATCTTCATTCTAGTTATATTGTTTGTTTTGTTTGTTTTTTGGTTTTTTTTTTAATTCAGTCACAAGTGCTGTGTATTGTTGAGTTAAGAACTGACATCAGAGCACTCTATATATTTCCATAAGCGCTCATCCTCATCTTCAGCAGCCAGCAAAGAGTTTCAATTCCCATGGTAGCAGTGTCTTGCCTTTCTTTTTGACTATTTCAAATTCACCATGATCCTAGCTTACTTTGGAAATGAAGTTTCAACATTCTGATCCTGACACCATGGTATTCTGAGAATCTTTCAGTAGTTCGCACTGTAAATGTTGCTTTGCCTGTCTCTGATTTAGAGCATGTGATAGTGCATTCATTGCAATACTTTGACCTGATTTATGACCTGGATTGCGATCTAAGGCACATTTTCTATTGCAAAGTCATTCTGTGTGGAAACTAGGTCATGGGTTCAGTTTGATAATGTACAGGAGCGGAAACGCCGAGGAACAGTCCCCAATGTTGTTGTGTGTTTTTTTCACATTCAGTCACTCAAGTGCTATGTATTGTGAGTTATGAACTGACATCAGAGCACTCTAGATATTCCCATAAGCGCTCATCCCCATCTTCAGCAGCCAGCAGAGAGTTCCACAGCAACTTGAGGAACTATATTAAAGGGTCACAGCATTAGGAAGGTTGAGAACCACTGATTTAACTGATGTTTCTCTGATAGAAATCATATTTATGTCTGGCCAGTAGAAAATCTGACATGTGTGTGGCCACCGGAAATAAATACCGACTAGAAAAAGCTGCAACCAACAAGGACCTTAACTAAATAAAAAATTAGATAAAATTGTGTTGGGTGTTAAGTCCCCTAGGTAAACTGGTACCCATGAGATAGATAAGGTAGTTCTTGAGAGACTTACTTTTCATTGGAGTGGCTCGACTTGATAGCAGTTACCTTCATGTCTAATGTCACTGGCATGAAAAAGGTCCTTTACTATTTCTTGTGTAGTCCTACTGTTTGGGAAGTCACCGTGGTGTAGTGGCTGGACACTTGCGTGCAGATTGGAAGATCATGGGTTCGCTCCCAGGCGAAGCCGGACTTTTTTCAGAAGTGACTTTGACTCCTAGGTTGATCCAGGCTTGAGTGGGTACTGGGTGCAGTCCCTGGAAGTAAAGGTGGCCAGCATGATGCTGACTACATCACCCACCTTGTGCCGATTTGTCTAGCCCTATATGCCCTATACGCCTAAAGGCGTGGAAAAGAAACCTTTACTTTACTTTTTTCCCCACTGTATGATGTAAATGTATGTTCCACGGCCAGATGTTTGTGACTCGGGAGAACCATACTGAAGGAGGGTCTGGTGTAGTGTTTGTTCTCATCTCTGACCTGTGCCTGTACCTGCTTCACTACCGCCAGGCTAGCAAGAAGTTTGCCCTGGAGTCCAGCGCCAAGCTTCAGGATCTTCTCTTCTTAGGGGTGAGTGTTTGTGAGGTTGCTTGTGACATGTCCCTGTCTGACCATGTGGTTGTCTGTAACATGTCCACTGTCTTTCCATGTGATTGTAACATGTCCACTGTCTTTCCATGTGATTGTCTGTAACATGTCCACTGTCTGACCATGTGGTTGTCTGTAACATATCCACTGTCTGACCATGTGGTTGTCTGTAACATGTCCACTGTCTGACCATGTGGTTGTCTGTAACATGTCCACTGTCTGACCATGTGGTTGTCTGTAACATGTCCACTGTCTGACCATGTGGTTGTCTGTAACATGTCCACTGTCTGACCATGTGATTGTCTGTAACATGTCCACTGTCTGACTATGTGATTGTCTGTAACATGTCCACTGTCTGACCATGTGGTTGTCTGTAACATGTCCACTGTCTGACCATGTGATTGTCTGTAACATGTCCACTGTCTGACCGTGTGGTTGTCTGTAACATGTCCACTGTCTGACCATGTGGTTGTCTGTAACATGTCCACTGTCTGACCATGTGGTTGTCTGTAACATGTCCACTGTCTGACCATGTGATTGTCTGTAACCTGTCCACTGTCTGACCATGTGGTTGTCTGTAACATGTCTACTGTCTGACCATGTGGTTGTCTGTAACATGTCCACTGTCTGACAATGTGATTGTCTGGAACATGTCCACTGTCTGACCATGTGATTGTCTGTAACATGTCCACTGTCTGACCATACATCTTGCTTGCCATCTTTAACCATTTCACCCCATGAATGCTTTTTAAAAAAAAAATAGGTCATGAAAATGTGGAAATTTTCAAAAGAATTCTTTAAACCCCCAAAAAATTTAAACATGTAACTAATAATTTGCTTAAAAATTGATTTGATTTATATAGTTTTTACATTGTTGAGGGGGTGGGGGGGGGTATATAGAGATACATAAATCAAGTAATCAATAGAATGGAATAGTGTAAATCATTAAATGAAATACATTCCCCGGGGCCTAATACAAATATGGTATATATATATATATATATATGGTCTTAGGCGTTGCGAACGCACTTCTTAATACCAGGGTGCCGGGTTCGATCCCTGCTGCAAACGGTTTGTCTTGCGATAGTTTCGACCGTGGTACTGAAAGCCGACCGTCCAGTAAGCAATGGCGAACTACTGGACGTAAATTTGCCTTAGAAAAACCACAACAGCCAGTAAGTGCTGGGCTGGTTCTGCAACTTCCTGTAAAGGATGCCCAACTAATTTAATATGGCCTCAGAGGCTAATAGACGTGCTTCCCCATGCTTTACTTCTGTATCATGCAATTGTGTTAGCCTCAGTGATTCATCATCATCATCCGCACAGTGTTAATGAAAGCAGCTCTGTCCATGTGCATTGGTGCATTACTTGCCAGCTGGTCGACTCCTTTATTATCTTCTACTCTTGCATGCCCAGGTGTTGAGGTCCAGATAAAGTAAAAGTAAAGATCCGTTTTTACGTGCATTGGTCATATGGAAATAGCACCCATACTTTTACAGACCAATCAGCACCAGGTGGGTAATGTGGTCAGCATTAAGCCAGCTGTCTTTACTGCCCCAGGACATACATCCTGGTAACCACTTTAGGCTGGGTCGACCTGCGATGCCCCGTGCCATGATAAAAATCCATACAGCCAGCAGTGGGTTTCGATCGCGGTACGTTGGAATTACAAGTCGGACTTGCAACGCCCAAGACACGGACACCGCTCCTTAGGTCCAGATGATGGAGATTAACTGCAATTTCTGAATGCTTTCTGCCCATTCATAGCGTAAACTGTCTGTTACGCTTCTCTAAATTATGTTGATGGAGTCTGAAACGATTGCCACATGTGTGTCCTCTTATTCTGCTACCCATGCTAGTTCTTTGCTCTGGAAGCAGGGGTTATCTCCACAGTCATGTTTAACCTAGTGGCTTGGTGGGTTGAGTGTATTCTCTTTGTGTCCTTGCCATCTTTCAGCTTCATGTGTGATTTTTCATTGCTTATCAACAATTACTCTTGCAGACAGGAATCAATGAACAGACACTGAACATTGAGAGCAAAGGGAGAAACAATCAGAAGCAGAGGTTCTGGTTAACCACCGGCCATCAGTCGCTCACACTGTAAGTATAATCTGATCCTTAAATGTGTCAGTTGTTTTAGGGAAAGTTCAGATGAGAAAAGTGGTCAGGTTGTTTGCTTCGTACTCTGAGGGTCATCTGTTTGTCTCGCAGACAGGCCATTCAGTTCACCGATGCAATTTTTACAGAGATCCCTAGGGGATCTTCACTAGAGCTATGGTTTTCATGCTTTGTGCGACTCTCTCAGCTGGCAGCTAGCCATTCTGCAGAGAGTTACCAGGCCAACCGGGATAAAACCCGGTGAGGTGAAGTTGGTCCCCATGACTTCAACTTTCAGCAGAGACTTGAACAGCAGCGAATTCAAATTTTCTGAAAGTTTCATAGATTCAAAATCATGCCCTCCACATTATGACAGAGGCCATGTGCTCCACGCCCATATCAGACATGGAAACATTACTGGTCTCCATTCTCTGGAGGACAGGAGCGACACAAAGCTCCTCAACCAGCTCTCTCAAGTACTACCACTTCAAAGAACAACCCATGCACAGCTGACTGCAGAAACACCAGAGGGCTAGACTAAAGAGAACATGTTTTATTAAGAATGCTAATGCCAAACTTGCTGACCTCAAACTCCCTCCCTTAGTACCAAACTGTACAACCACTGCCCCTCCCCCCGGGGCAAGGGATAACCTGCCAACAATCTAACCACTGCAACAGGGATGTCCTTCAAATCATCAGTGACCAGCATCGATATGAAGTCAGTTACAGAAGGAGAGATCAACCAACTTTATCCACACCAGGGTTGCATTAGAATGTGTACAGATGGTTCAGCCAAGAAAGCAGAAAGAGATGGAGGAGGAGGAAAATACATAGAATACCCAGATGGTTTCAAAGTTGAACAAGCTATACCAAATGGCTCATGTTCCTCTAGTTACAGAGCAGAGGCAAAAGCACTTCTGGTGGCATGTTCTTTCGTGAATTGACAAGAGCACAGCAAAAATATCAGAGTGATCTTTCTGGCTGATACCATGTCAATTCTACAAGCAGTTGTTAACCCAAAAGACACGCAGTGTGTAGACTTGACGCAACAGCTGATTCACTTAGGCTGTTCAGTAGAACAGTCTGTAGTGCAGTGGATTGCAGGTCACTGTGGCTTGGAAGGCAGTGAAATAAGGGACAGACTGGCCATATGTGGCAGTAGCATGGTACAATCAAATAGTGAATTAACCCACCATTAGACTAAGACATTAATTAACACAGTCTAGTATCCAAGCTGGATGCACACCAGATTTTCTCCCCAAGACTCACTTCATCGCCTCTCTAGAGAGGGACAGTTTTTTTTTTTTATATTCAGACTAAGGACAGGTCACAACAGACTTTGCCAACAAATGTTACACATTTTTGGTGTAGGAAACCATGGAAATGTGTCCTTGTAGTGTGGCACCAGAAAATACTGAGCATGTGCTCCAACACTGTCAACTGTATTCTGCCAACAGAGACACAATCTGGGCTATTCCAGTCACAATGGAGACAAAACTTTATAGTACACAGGAAGATATGGACTGCACAATAGCTTTCATAAAGGCTACTGGCCTCCAGGTATGTTTTCTGACAGAAGGATTAAAGAAGAAGAAGAAAAGATGTTGAGAATGGAGTCTTTTTTTCTTAGTATTCATTGTTCTGTAGATCAGTCATGACATAGCCAGTAAATACATGCTGCAAAAAAATCAGGATTACTTGCTGAGAATGGAGTTTTTTCATGGTGTTTATTGTTCTATAGATCCGTCATGACATGCTTAACTACACATACTGCAATAAAAATCAAGATATAGTGCTAAGAATGGAGTCTTTCTCATTGTATTAATTACTCTACAGATCAACTGACACACTTAACTAATAGCTTTATTAGCCTGTGTTTGCATATGCCCAAAGTGTTGAAAATGGAGTTTTCTCATTGTATTATTTGTTCTTTAGATCATTTGGTTTATAATTGTTCTATAGATCAGTTTTTCATTGTATTAATTGTTCTATAGATCAGTTTTTTATTGTATTAATTGTTCTATAGATCAGTTTTTTATTGTATTGTTCTGTAGATCAGTTGTTTTCATTGTATTAATTGTTCTATAGATCAATTGTGGCATGTTTGACTGAAGCAGTTCGAGCGGCCAGTGATCATATACTCCCAGCAAAATCCAGATTCAGTGTTGAGAGTGAAGTCCCTTTACAGACAATTGCCCTGAGAAAATACATTTCCAGAGAACTCCAGTGTGAGGTAAGTGTGTCGTTGACTGCAGTTGTCACTGATCCTCAAACATCCTTACACACGCACAGGACTGCAGTTTACACTGCTTCAGGTCCTGTTGGCCTGTCATCCCGATTGAGATTTTCTGATCTCGCGGTGTCAAACATTCCAGCAGTGGTGAGGCATGCAGGTAACGGCAGTAATCGGCACTTACAATTTCTGTTGCCACACAGTTTACGCCCCAGGCATAGCGAAAATATCGCTTGCAGCATGCTTACAACACAGATACAGAAACTGTAACCTGTGAAAGCTGCCAGTTACTAATGCTTACAATGCTAGCTAAATAGCAAAGTAACGAGGAGGAAAACCATGTGAAACCCTATCCAATGCAACCATTACCTACTAACGCTTACACGTGTGATTTGATCACACCTCACCACAGCTTTTCAAGAAGCAGCTTGGGTGGAGATAAATGGCTCACACGCACTGAAGGTGGATCAGTGGTTTTTGAATGTATGAAATTATTTGTTTTGCTAGTGTAATTGCGGTGATTCCGTTGATGTTGAGTTAGTTAGTTGTGAACCAACCTGAGCAATTTGTTTGGCTGTTGTGGATTTTTTTAGGCAAATGTTACGTTCAGTAGTTTGCCATTGTTCTCTGAACGGTCAGCTCTCAGTATCACTGTGGAAACCAACGCAAGCTGGCATCGAACCCGGCATTAAAAAGCATATTGGCAACGCCTAAGCCACAGACAATACTGCAATGCTGAGTATATTTTCTATAAAATACAAATTTATTTATTGACACCTGTGAACTAAGATGTCTGAGAAAAGCCGCCGACTTAACCATCTGAGACACAGTTATAAATTATATTATCAGATTGTTGGAACAACACCATGCAGCACATTCACTGAGAAACAGATTATTAAATGGTTTGGTCATCTATTAAGAATGCAGCCAGAACTTTAGACGCAGGTACTACATATGAAAAGTTCTAAGTGAAAGCAAAAGGGCGTCATAGGAGAAGATGGATTGATGAAATTAAAGAGCTTCCATATGGACACAGAATGATAGTAGCCGTTGCTTGCTATCTAGCAATCGATCACTGGCTGTGAATTCTGGCGAAAGGTCCCAGTTGATCATCCATTTAGACTTTTGGCTTTTACCTGGACCTGAGTTTTGCCTGCAGATCCGTTTTACTGGTTTATATGTTTGCCGTTCCCTGCCTTGCTGGCAGATGCACTCTTGACCTCAAGGCAGGAAATATTCTGTTGACTTGTGTCAATTTTTCAGGTTCAAGATGTGACAATATCTGATTATTCTCTGGTCTTCTGGGAGGATCCATCTGCGGCCACCAGTCACTCCCATGATGCAGACACGGCTTACAAAGAGGGCACCCTTCTCATCAGAAGCCAGGATCCTCTTAAGCCTCCTACGTGGAAACCTGTATATGTTGTTCTAAAGTAGGTGTCATTTTTTCTGTTCCCACATGGAAACTTAAATATGTTGTTCTAAAGGCGGTGTCATTTTTCTGTTCCCACATGGAAACTTGTATATGTTGTTCTAAAGTAGGTGTCATTTTTCTGTTCCCACATGGAAACTTGTATATGTTGTTCTAAAGTAGGTGTCATTTTTCTGTTCCCACATGGAAACTTGCATATGTTGTTCTAAAGTGGGTGTCATTTTTCTGTTCCCACATGGAAACCTGTAAATGTTGTTCTAAAGTAGGTGTCATTTTTCTGTTCCCACATGGAAACTTGTATATGTTGTTCTAAAGTAGGTGTCATTTTTCTGTTCCCACATGGAAACCTGTATATGTTGTTCTAAAGTAGGTGTCATTTTTCTGTTCCCACATGGAAACCTGTATATGTTGTTCTTAAGTAGGTGTCATTTTTCTGAAAATCTACCCTAAGAAACTATTGGAAGAGAAGAAGCAGAAGCAATTTTTAGTCCAAGTTAGTTTTTTTTTTTTTTTTAACTCCAGCAGGTCGAAACCTGTGATCATCAAGCAGACGGGCACATCTCCTAGTTGTTGCATCATCACAGCCATCAAGTCACTAAAATGATGAATTTTTTATATTTATAGTCATTATTTTGTGAACAGAATTTTTTTTTTATTTGAAGGGAGGTAATCACAAAGAAATAACTGCTTTTCTTCCCTTTGACCAAGAAACAGGTTTTTGTTGACAGCAATAGAAAGGAAAGTGTAGTCATCCTAAGTATATTATGATGTCACAAGAACAAGAAAAAATCCAACTTTTTCACTCAAAATAATATCTGAGAACAAATGTTATTGTAAATTTAGTTACACCCACCATGTCTACACAGGAAGTTGTAACTTCTAGACGTGTAACTTCTAGACGCTCACCTGCGGATCGGACAGTCATGGTTTTGGGTCCTGATAGAGCCGGAATCTCTTTCAAAATGACCTTGGTTCCCAGGTCAACCCTACCTTGAGTAGGTACCAGGTGCAGTCCTGTGACATAAAGGCGGCCTACTGTGATGCTGACCACATCACCCACCAGGTGTCGATTGGTCTATAAAATATAGGTCTGAGATCAGTGGAGATGCATGAACTCCTACGTCACCTAGCAAGGCTATTGGTGATGATGATGATGAACTTCTAATAATACTCTGTTTTATGTTGTTTTCTCCCAGGAATTCCATGCTTTGCGTTTCTAATAACAAGTCTGACCCTCGACCCCATTCCTACCTGGGTCTGGGAGGTGATCAGTGTGTCGGCTGTCGGGCAACCTCCACTGCCGACCGTGAGCATTGTATTGAGCTCATCATTGCACACGGAGGAAGCTGGTTACTGGCAGCGGCTTCTCAAGCAGAGATCTCTGAATGGAGGCATGCGCTCTGCCTGGCAGTGTCTCAGGGAACAGTGGTAAGTCATCGTTAAGAGTCTGTGGGGTGTCTACATGGGGAAGCCTCGTGGTCTGAAGGTTGTGGGTTTGTTTCATGCCTGTGTCTTTCAGTTCACAAGTGCAATTTTTATGGATATCTGTGGGGATCATCACTGGAGCTACAGAGTTTATGCTTTGTGTGACACTTTCAGCAGACAGCTAGCCATTCTGCAGAGTGAGACCGAGCTTTAATTTTAACTTGTTAGTCTTCATGTGAATTTATTTTTTTAGTTGGGCTGATTTAGAGGTAATGGAAAAGGGTGTCCTTAAATCTGAAATATTGTACCAAATGCAGGGATTTCCAAGCTGTTTTGACTTGAGCAGGTCTTGCAGTACTTGAGAAGATCCCAACTGGCAAACTTTGACTAGAATTGGTTGACAGCATCCAGACGTCCCACCTCAATACTCTCTTGGCTAAACACACCAGCAGCAAATGCTCGGGTGAAAGGAAGTGAAAGAGCTGATAGACTGGCTGTATCTGCAGAAGTTAGTGCTGGGAAAAAAGAGTATGGACAGGGCAGACATATCGAATGTGCTGCTTCCAGAAATGCTGAGACAAAGGAGAATGTTGGAAATGGGTGTTAAACGAAGATTGATGTACTAAGATGTTGACACAATCAAGTGCAAGCTAGCTATAGAAAATATACACTACTGTTGTAATATGTTGTCAAGTTAATCTTTTCTTCTTCTTCTTTTTATCCTTCTCCTTTGCCACCGCCCTGGAAAATTATTGGCATGTTGATTTATGGTTTACAGCTAAGCTGCGATATCTGCACTTTTAAACCCAACAATACTGAAGGGCACAGTAGAGGGAAAAGAGGCAGACCAAGAAAGACCTGGATAAAGAACTTGACTGGCAGGACAGGCCTTAGACATGCAGCCATGAATTATATTGCTGTAGCTCGTGACCTGACAACACGCAGTGTTGCGGAATGATGATGAAACCCAATCCATTTAACTTCTTCTCTTAAGAGGAACGGCTGGCCAAACAGTTAGAACACTGGTCTGTCATTCAGGAGACCTGGGTTTCAATCCTCAGTAAGGTTGAGGCTTTTTGTCCGTTGGGGGCAAAATAAAATTCTCACCTGCAGTCCGTGGCGACAGCACTAGCCATGCGGCCTTTAAACCTCTGGCTCAAATAACCCTCCTGGTAAAACAAAAACAGTAACTGGCAGTGGGTTTTTTTTCTACTTAAAGTCTATGCTGTATGGCATTGGTAGTCATGTCTGTCCACATCCTTTTGTCTCATGTACTTTCATTCAAGTCTGACACAGATGATTCTCCATGCCATGATGTCAGACTGTCCAGCATTTTTTCTCCTGGTCTCTGTCAAGAGCCTTAATGTCTAGGGTTTGATTCCATTGGCTACGCTGTTGGCTAATGACAGAAAAAAACTGCTGCCAAACACTGGTTGCAACACACACACAATCTTTATTATCAGAAGAAACTGACTAGAAGGTTATCACCTCAGGAGGGGGGTAGTGCTCCTTATTCTGAAACCAGGCCGCTTCTAACTTTAAAATCGCTTAGACACTCCTTTTCACGTTGATGAAATAAACTCTGAGCCTTTACCACACTCCAGTAAAGTGCTAACTCAACCCGCTGTCTCCCGATGCCAAAGACGCTATGGCACCTGCCACATGTCGGCCAGAGATGCGTCGACAGGTGCTAACGCCACAAACAATGCATGGTCCGGCTTATCGTAAAGAGTTATAACCACTGACAAAGTCTAGCTACTCTCCTAAATCTAAGGCCAACTAAGATCTAAATGGAACACATATTATCTACCCTGTAACATATTAATACATTTAATCACACCACGAACAGTACGCATTACAGCTAACAACTAGGACAGTACATTTCTATAAGTCAATACGATCTGTCAATGAAACTATCAAATGGTCCGGTCACACATCAAGTCAACACCACAAGTCCTCAGCCAAGAGATTCCAGAACTGTGCTTTGCAAAGCAGTTTTGGTTCCAGTTATAGTGTCCACGTGGCGGTCAGCCTACGTGAAATCCGCCGGCCTTGAGTTTCACCCAGCCTTGTTCAGTTATAAATGTGTATACACATACTGAGTTTAGCTAAGGGTCCCAGGGTCTATTGGTAGGATTCATCATCATTATACTGAACTGTCCCATAACTGGGATGACCTCTGACGGTATCCCTCTGCTTCTCCTCCCTTCCAACTTTCCTACTGTCACAATGCTACTGTCATGATGTACCCCAGTTTTCTCTTTCCCATCACATGATCAAAGAATGTAGATTGTCTCTTTCTTATGTGGGCAGCCAGTTCTCTTAGTGGGTCAATTTCTTCCAAGACATCCTTATTACTTCTTATCGTCATTTAACTTCACTTGTCCCTTTTTTGTGTGTGTGACAAACTTGTTAACTCTTCCAGTCCTATGCAACGTGTGATGCGTAACAGATTTTTTAACATGAATCCCAGCCATTGCTTAATGTGTTCACTCCCATTTTACTTTTACCACAGCACACTAAAGACATATGGCTTCCCTGTTGGCTTCGTTTTAAAGTTATGTATTTGTGGCTTTTCAAAGTGGTAATTTCTTTCTGCTGCGCATTTGGTGCAAGAATCCCCTGGGACTGAAAGAGTTAAGGACCAGTTGGTGTAAACACCCCCTTCCCTGCAATCTCTCTCATCTCCTAAATGGGCCCAGATAATTGCATTTAAAACTCAGAATAATGGTTTCAGGATTTAGTTCGACGTTAATTTTCCCAAACAAAGTAGGTCACATTCCATTGATAAGTTTGTTAGACTGGTCTGCTTTTTTGGGGGTTATGGGTGTGCGGCTCTGTTGTTTGCTTACTGGCTTGTTTTGCATTTACGTTTTTCTTCCGAGAAAGAGAATGCCTAGGTTGCAGCCCGCAATATCAACGGCATTGCGGAACACCTTCGTAGCGGTGTGCTCATGAACTACCTATCAGAAGTGAGCTAGTGTGTATATGGGTGGGCTCTGGGGGGACTAATGTCAAACTAACTGGTTTCAAATTTTTTTTTTTTTGCTGGCCAGGACAACAACACACTGATGTCTTGTGTGCCCTGCTGTTCTGTGTTGTCCTGTAACCAACTGTTTCTGTGCCATGAAGACCTGCACACCAAGTTTTATCGCACTCTGGGCAGGGCCCAGCTGGAGGATGTGACAGGCATTGAAGTTGATTATGTGGACCCATCCTACTGTATTATTGTGAGTAATAATTAACACACCCGTTACATTATTGAAGGAAACATGCGAGCTTAGCATCATATGCCTGGGGTAAAATGGGTCCTTTACTTACACTATTCCCCCCATGTGGGTTCTGGGTCCCCTTATGGGGGGGGGGGCAAGAAAAGACCCACCGCTTCCCTAGCAAGCGTGTCGTTTGAGTCGACTAATAAGAGGATTCCTTCAAAGTTGGAGCGCATCTGCCCAAGAGGCAAGGAGCCAGCAGTCTGCATACAGTTATGCCAGATGTGTTAAACAGGTGCCCACGTGTCTAGAAATGGATAAATAACCAGGACTTTCCGCCTGGGTTTACACCCGGTGAACACAGACAGACAACTGAAATTACCCTCCGTGTGGGTTCTGGGACTCCATTGTAGGGGGGAGGGAGGGACAAGAATAGAAACCACCCCCACCCACCACCCCGACCACAACCAGCATGTTGTAAAAGTCGTCCAATTAGGGGTGTTTCATTCAAGTCAAGAGTACATCTGCTTGAGAAGTGAGGAGTAAACAGTCTGCATACAAGTAAGACATCTGTAAAACAGATTTGCATGCGAAACTCAAGTTCTGGAACAAAACTGAAGTCCAGAAGTAGAGGAACAACCAAAAGTTTACAGCGGGTGAATGCCAAGACAAGACAAGAGCCTTACAAAACATCATTTTACATTATAGATCAAATGAACAGTTTCTTATTTCTGTGAAGTCTGAGATACTTTCTTTAACTACAGTAGATGCTGCAGTATCTGACCTAATATGGCAGAAGGGTAGGGTAGGCCAGATAACAAAAAACCAGATATGCTTGAGTTCTGTCAATACTCAGTTTCTAACTCACCCATATCATTAAAAACACCTTTTTTTTTTTTAATACCAAAACCCTCTGTAATTCATGTTTTCTGACCTCTTAGTATGGGCCAGTGCTTTATAAATATTTTGTATGTATTGTACTGTACATTTTTAACATTTGTTACCGAAAAAGGAGGTCCAAAAATTAAAATATCTCTTCACATTTTTAGATAAAATTTATCATGTTTCACTGAAACTGCAGGGAAAATAAAATTGTGTGTATTGTACAGTATGAATACACACACATTTAAATTGAACAACATATTAACTCTTTCAACCCCAGGGGGTTAATCAGAGGCCCAATGGATGGCAAAGAGATGTAAAATCAGAGCACCCCGGTTCATTGGGTTTATAGGTATGAACTTATGAACATAGGATGCGTTCCTTGAGACTGAAAGAGTTAGTTTAAAATGTAGGTTTACTTACTAAAATTATTTACAAATTTTTTTTTTTAACTGGTAATTGATAAATAATTTCAGAAATGGGCAAAGGGTCGGTCTGAGATGAAAGTCAAAACTTACAGGTTTAAGTTTTTTATAAGTCTGTGATAGATACCTGTTTCAAACCCCCCCCCCCCCCCCCCCCCCCCCCCCCCCCCACCCCAGGTGGTTGATGGAGTGTGAGAGCAACCGACAGATTGTTGTTGGTTATGGCGATTCAACATCATCATACTGAACTGTCCCATTACTGGGACGGCCCTCTGAGGCAGATGATCTCATCAGTAGACACATTGGCTATGGCCACCGACTAGTACAGTCACTGCCCAAAAGGAAAGCAATGGCAAACTGCCTTCTGCAAAACTTGCCAAGAAACTATAACAGCCATGAAAGAGATCTGGTGGCGAGACCCCCAGGCCAGGTAGATCAGATAACACTGGGGAAGAGTGTGATACAGAGAGGGAGGCCAAAGAGAAGATGAACGAACGAACGAATGAACAAACTTTATTTTCAAAGGGTTACAAATTGGGCACGCAGGCCCGTCTGACATTCGGCTCTTCTAAGCACTCGTTTTTCAGAGTACCAATGCCTGTTATCTAAAATGCATGTTATAGATATAGAATAAAAATATACATTATAGAATATAATACATACATCATGTGTACACAATCTTACACACTTACACACATATATATATATGCTCTCACATTCTCATACATGCACACTCATATACAGACATACCTAACACATACATACATACATACATACATACATACATATATACATCTACATATATACACAAACAGAAAAGACACACACATACATAAATGGACATATACACACCTACACATGCATGCATGCATACACACACATACAATCACATGTACAGACACCCACAACCACACATTTACACTCACAGGTAAACATCAACAACACACATATACAAACACACATCAATACATACACCTACATCTTTACACCTATGGGTGCAGGATGTGGCGAATGATCTCCAGATGGGTGTATCGGAAGTGGGACATCTTGCTTGTGAAGAAGTTTTTTTTCGGTAGGCTGTTATGTGACCAGTGTATCTCCCTTGACAACAGAAACAGTGAAAGAGAATGCTGTGTTTGCCTGGCCTTTTATTTTAATTCGCTTTATGTTGACCTCGCATAAATAGGTTGACCTGGCATAATTATGTTGACCTCGTGGAAATAACAATAGACTGCACAATTAATTGCCTGGCATATTAAAATTGAATCCTTCTAACTGAAACAAAAAAATTGACTACATTCAAAAGTAACAGCCTTTGTCACCAGGGCAAATGCAAGTTCACTACCATGTCCTTTTGTTTGCATTTTTCTGAGCTGAACTGGTTTATTATCATGTCTTCTATATAGTGGAGCATTCTGTGGGTTTCTTAGTTATGCATAATTTGAAAAGCATTCCCCTGGTTTACAGTGTAATTGTGTCTTCTTTAGTAAGATTCACAACAAGGAAAGTTTGCTTTAATTGACTTTATGTTTCTGGTTTAGGAGTTTGAGTCCCAGGAGGCAGGAGTAACCAGTAACCAGTGGGTGCTTTATTTCTCCTCTGCTGAAGATTTAAAACGATACAAGACAGCTGTAGGTTCAGCTTGGAGGGACATTTATCAGGTAGGACTTGGTTGTTTGTTATTCTTTCTTTTCTTCTTCTTCTCCTGCTGCTGCTGCTGCTTTTTTTCTCCCCAGTAGAGCAAAAACACTCATCCAACTTATGTAAAAATTTGTGTCAGTGTGTGCAACCTTCCTTATTTCCTCCCCCTCTTTTCAACTTCATCCTCTAATTCTTTTACTATTGCTGTTACAACTCCTCTTTCCTTTTGTATTAATTTTTTCTGGGGAGGTCTCTCCGTTACTCCATCCTTGTCTTCATTTTTAACTTCATCCTCTAATTCTTTTACTATTGCTGTTACAACTCCTCTTTCCTTTTGTATTAATTTTTTCTGGGGAGGTCTCTCCGTTCCTCCATCCTTGTCTTCATTTTGTCTACATTAATGATAGTTGGTTGTTTTTTTAAACTGACATTAATTTGAGTTTCTGTTCTCCTCTTTCCTTTTGTATTAATTTTTTCTGGGGAGGTCTCTCCGTTACTCCATCCTTGTCTTCATTTTTAACTTCATCCTCTAATTCTTTTACTATTGCTGTTACAACTCCTCTTTCCTTTTGTATTAATTTTTTCTGGGGAGGTCTCTCCGTTCCTCCATCCTTGTCTTCATTTTGTCTACATTAATGATAGTTGGTTGTTTTTTTAAACTGACATTAATTTGAGTTTCTGTTCTTTTCTTTCAGATTGAACTTCCTGTCTCACCAATAAACAGTGTTGCTCTACGTCGCCATTGCTCTGTGTTTGCAGACCAGCTGAGACAACAACTAACTCTAAAGTGATTCTTTACCAGCAGACGCCAGCAAAGAACTCCATGACCAACATTTGTAAATCCTGCCTGTGAACAATCTGGCAACATGATCACGCATGCAGGTTGCACCACGACCAGCTCCAGCTGACGGGCCGTGCTGCTGACGTCACCGGGTCGGGCTAATAATGCGTTAACGCAGCAGTTCTCAAACTGGGGGGCCGAGGCACCCTGGGGTGCAGTGAGCGTATGAGAGGGGTGCCGCGGCAATAATCAAGAAAAGTCGGCTAAATATTGTGAAATTATTAAAGAGGGCCTGTAGATACTTAAAAGTTAAAATTTAAGTTGTCTTGCCCCTCCACTGTCGAGAAAAGTTTATTTCTTGTTTTAGAACCGCTGCGTTAATGCGTTGTTAGCCCGACCCGATGACGTCAGCAGCACGGCCCGTCAGCTGGAGCCGGTCGTGGTTGCACGAGCATTATTTGTGGCCAGATTATTTGTCCACAGTTTTCGGTTATTATCATTCATTTGTTGACATAAAAGCATCATCAGGAATTTGTTTCTATGAAATCTGATCAAAACCATGTCTTTGTCTCCTTTTGGAATGTTCCAGGTTAACCCAGCAGGCTTAGTTTGCTGGGGACATTAATATTTATTCTGTGCAATATTAGGGATTTTTATGCCTGTGTATTCTGTTTTATTGTAGACTTGTGTTTTTATATAATACACCTGATTATTAACAGTGTATGCTTAACACTTGCTCCCTTTGTCTATCACTCTACTTTTTCCTGTCCATACATCTATCGCTTGTCAGCATTCACCTAATTTACTGTATGACATTGATTTAATGGGGGATAGGCTAAATGTGATGTTCAGTTACTTACCTCTCTTTGTCTCTCTCTCTCTCTCTCTCTCTCTCTCTCTCTCTCTCTCTCTCTCTCTCTCTCTCTCTCTCTCTCTCTCTCTCTCTCTCTTTCTTTCTTTCTCTCTGATGCGCACACACACACACACACACACACACACACTGACTGACTGACTAACTGTGTGTCCACAAGTATAAGACCCACTTATTTTCCAAAAATATAGTCTTAAAAACAGTGCAATTTCGCACTTGTCATATAAGGTCACGTTTTGCCCATAAATGTCTCAGAACGGATGTTCATACAACGCTGAATTTAAGTTAAAAGTAGTCCAGTTTGCACAAGTGAATGGAAATTGGGCTGCTGAATATCCATGTGGTGTCCTCCTGAAACTGGAAACTGGCTACAGGAAGAAGAAACCTTACTGAAGATGCCACGGAAGGTGTAATTATATAATTTGTTCCCCGAAATTTCCAGTCCAAAAATCAAGGTGCGTCTTATACATGGTATTGTCTTTTATGAGGAGAAATACAATATTGTTCTCCTTCTGTCTGTCTCACTATAGTATTGTCTGTCTACCTGTTCATGTTTCTGTGACCTTCTGCCACTGTTTCTGTCTTTGGTTTGTTTTTTGTTTTTTTTCTTTATTTTTCATTTCTGTCCATTATTCCAGTTTTTCTTTCCTTTTTTTTTCTCTCTTGTGATTTAGTCTTCCCCCATCTAGGTTAACCATCATACTTCTTGTCCTTTTGAGGACGAAATAATTCGTTATTTGAAGCCCTACTCTGGCTTTTGCCAGGGGCTGCAATATAGCCTGGCCATAAATATGGCCTAAAGGCTGAACGCGGTTTCTGGGACCTCTCCACGGTGATCCTCACCCACTTGGTTGCACATTGTGTCATCGGGTGTTTATCGCTTGTGTGATGTTCTGGTGGGGTAGAAAGTCAGTCAGTCAGTCCCCCATCTCATTGTTGCACATTTGCTAAAATACACACGGGATTCATTGTGTTTTCATTTCACAGATATCTGCATATCCAAACATAAATCACATTTGTGGGGAATTTTTTATAGATTTTCTATATTTTCTATATTTTACACTATATGTGCTCAAAACAGGTAAATCACTAGTTGGTTTGACCATTGTGGGATTGTTTCTGGTTTTTACCCACGTGGCTTTTAGGGCTGCCATTGTGGGGGGGGGGGGGGGGGGGGGGGGAAAACCACTGCCATCCCCCCCCCCCCCCCCCACACACACACACACACACACACACAAGCATGTTGTAAAAGGAATAAGTCACCGCCATCCCCCCTCCCCCCACACACACACACACTCACAAAAGGCAACTAATTATAGATTTTTCATTTGAAGCCGGAGTGCATCTGCCTGAGAGTCAAAGAACCAGCAGTCTGCATAAACATCAGCCAGATCTGTTAACCTAGCGGTTCTCAAACTGCCGGTCGCGACCTTTTTTTCAGTTGAAGGATCTTTTTACAGGGGTCATCTAAGACCATTGGAAAACACATATTCATTGATGTTATGAAGGAAAATAACTGTTTCGGGGTCACCGCAACATAGGGTGGTTGAGAGCCACTGTGTTAACGGAATGTGCCCGCACAACTCACGTTCTGGAACAAGACTGAAGTACAATGTTGAATTAAGAATCGACATCACAGCACTCGGTACACCCCCATAAGCGCTCAGTCACCATCTTCAGCAGCAAATAAAGAGTTAAAATTCTGATGGTAACTGATTGTATATCTGTCTTGCCTTTTCCCTGAGTGTAGAGCGTCGGCCAGATCCCCTTGGTGCTCCTCTCAGTGCCAATTTCCTCAGACTGTAATGATCTGTCTGTCTGTGCCTCAGCACTGTTCACTATCTCCCAAAGGGCCCTCACAACATTCAGCTTCTCATTCATCAGTTCACCACCAAGTGGTCAGAACCGGCCAGTCTATCTGCCTGCTTATTTCCCAACACACCGGCATACTGCAGAAAATATCCAAAGGATGCTAACTACCCGGGACCTTTGAAGTGATGCTTGCCACTCTGCACGGAGCACGCCTGTCTCCACTTTTCTCAACATACTCTGTGAGTCAGTTACAATGATGGCCTGTGTGTATAGCTGATTCCCTGAGTTATAATATACAAGGAGGAAAGGAACTGATCGTCTCATCTCATAGTTAGGACCACATATTTCTCAGTATTTCGCCGCCCCCCCCCCCCCTGAACAGACATCATGTCACGGATGATGACACAAATAAAATATTGAAGCAGCTCAGTCTCCTTATTAATTTTTTATGGGGGGGGGGGGGGGGGGGGGGGATGCTCAAGTGGCCTCGGCATTTTCTTAAGTAATAATTACCTTTATTACTATTATGGCTGTACCGAATATTTGCTACGGGCCAATTAGTAGACCTAATAACTATTCGGTATTCAGCCGAATAGTTGCGGTCAAGCCGAATACGAGTAGTGGTTACCTTACACCCGTTTCTAGACTGGTGGAAAATGAACATATCAAGATTTCCTAAGATTTTTTTTTTTAAAGCTTATACCGCTTTCATGGATTAACTAAGCTGTCAGTGACAAGTTTAGTTACTTGTTATAAAACTAAGAATACTTTCATTCCTAGGTATTAGTTACCACAGACTGACTGACTGAAGGATGCAAAACATGAAATGTTTTTAAATGTTTACTATTCTGTACTACATTTTGTGAAGTAAAATGTCAGCGTACATTTGACATTATGGATGTTTTTTTGTTTTTTTTTTTTTAGATCTATTTTATACACTATTCGAAAGTGGAAGAATGGGCCTCAGTTTGAATAGTGGGAAGACAGAAGTAATGGTGGTATCAAAGAAAATAATTATTCCTAAATTTGTAATAAAAGTAAATGATTTTATTTTGGGACAAGTACAGAAATTTAAGTATCTGGGTACATGGATAACATCAGATGGAAGATGCATTACTGAAATAAGAAACACAATAGGACAGGCAAAAACTGCATTTTATAAAATGAAGAACATCTTATGCAATATATCTTTGTCATTGAAGGTTAGAAAAAGAATTCTTGCCTGCTACATACATCCAGTTTTAACATATGGCTGTGAGTCCTGGACAATCGGTAGGCAGGCCAAACAATTTCTTGAGGCCTCAGAGATGTGGTTTTACAGAACAATGCTTAAAATACCTTGGACAGCCAAAGAAAAGCAGCCAAGAGGTTTTTAAAGAGGCGGGAGCCCGAAGACAACTTATCACAGACATCAGAAGGAGACAGTCATCATTTTTCCGCCATGTTATGGGAAGAGGGAAAATGGAACATGTTGTGACCACAGGAAAAATCTGATAAGGAGGGACAGAGGAAGACAACGAGAGAAGATTCTTGACAGTCTTGTTGCATGTAATGGAGGTGTGTCAGCACACAAACTGATAGATGCTGCAGGAGATCGCAGATTATGACGAGGCATAATCGCCCATGCAGTCGGCAAAGCACTTGATGACGATGATTCACTATTCGTATTCGGCCTAATAGTTGGTCCAGCTATTCATATTCGGCCGAATAGTTAAAATCACTATTCGGTACAGCCCTAATTACTATTATTATGTCCTCAGTGACATATAAATATAACATATGTGAAATACTGTGATATGTATTTTGTTTCTAAACCTAGTTTCACATTTCTGAACAGTTTAGCTCAGCCTGCCCCTAAAAATATTCACATTGCATGCAACTCTCCGTTTCTGAGACGGAGTTGAGCCCATAATTTTTTAGTCTCGTAATAATATCCTTCTTAATGTTTTCCTTGGACGTCCTTTTTTTTTCTCAGACCGATTGTTTCCCATTTCAGTGCTTGATTTGTAATTCTTTGCTGATTTTGTCTTAGAGTGTGACCAGTACATCTCCACCTTTTTTGTCTTACTGAGATCGATACAGGTATTTTTCCAGACACGTCTATAATCTCCTCCCTCTTTTTGAATTCATCCCATTTAACATTCATGATATTACAGCTAGGCTGTAATGCCTGAGTCTTTCGACCCAACACATCAAAGTAAGTTTTTACGAACAGCTTATTAAAGAGGTCAGTAGGTCAATTTCCCCTTAATGCAGCTCACAGGGAGAGTTTGTTACTAAAACAGTGAAGCCATTATTTGTTCGTAAATTTGAAAGAATATGGAATC